GCTCTGCGGCTCTTCCAGGATCGTCTGGTTACTGAAGACGAGAGAAACTGGACTGCAGACGCTGTTCGGCGCATTGCGCTCGATAATTTCCCCACTATTGATGACCAGGAGGCCTTGAAGGGTCCGATCTTGTTCTCTAACTGGCTGTCTAAGAACTATGTACCTGTTGAACAGGAGAGGTTGCGTGACTTCGTAAAGGCTCGTCTCAAGACCTTCTGTGATGAAGAGGTCGACGTTCCTCTGGTGCTGTTCAATGATGTCCTGGAGCATGCGTTGCGCATTGACCGTGTCTTCCGCCAGCCTCAGGGTCACCTTATTCTCATTGGAGTCAGTGGAAGTGGTAAGACAACTCTGTCTCGCTTCGTTGCTTGGATGAACGGTTTGAAGGTGTTCCAGATTAAGGTACATGGCAAATATTCATCGGAAGACTTTGATGACGATCTGAGAACCGTTCTTCGTCGCGCCGGTTGCAAGGGCGAGAAGATTTGTTTCATCATGGACGAATCGAACGTCCTCGATTCTGGTTTCCTGGAACGCATGAACACCCTGCTTGCAAACGCGGAGGTGCCCGGTCTGTTTGAAGGAGATGAATTTTCGTCTTTGATGACCGCTTGCAAGGAGGGAGCTCAACGTCAAGGTCTTCTTCTCGACACTCAAGAAGAACTCTACAAGTGGTTCACCTCGCAGATCGTCAAGAACCTGCATGTCGTGTTCACGATGAATCCTCCTGAGGAAGGCCTTTCTTCGAAGGCTGCGACAAGTCCTGCCCTCTTCAACAGATGTGTACTCAACTGGATGGGCGATTGGTCAGACCAGGCTCTCTTCCAAGTTGGTTCCGAACTTACACAGTCCGTCGACTTGGATAAGCCCAACTTCATTGCTCCTGACAGTATTCCGGTGGCCTACCGCGAATTGAGCCTGCCAGCCTCTCATAGGGACGCAGTCATCAACGCCATGGTCTACATCCATTACTCGCTGCAACGATTCAACCAGCGTTTGCAGAAGCAACAGGGACGGACGACATTCTTGACTCCGCGCCACTATCTCGACTTCGTTGCTCAGTACGTGAAGCTCTTCAACGAGAAGCGCGAAGACCTCGAGGAACAGCAGAGACACTTGAACGTCGGTCTGGAAAAGCTTAGAGATACTGTCGATAAGGTCAGCGATCTTCGAGCCAGTCTTGCCCACAAGAAGACGCAGCTGGAGAAGAAGGACACGGAAGCAAACGAGAAACTGCAGAAGATGGTTGCAGATCAGCGAGAGGCAGAACAACGTAAAGCAGTTTCCCTTGAGGTTCAAGCTGCTTTGGAGAAGCAGGAGAAGGAAGTGGCTCTCCGAAGGGAAGTTGTGCTCAGTGACCTCGCTAAAGCCGAGCCTGCCGTCATTGAGGCTCAGAAGAGTGTCAGCAACATTAAGCGTCAGCATCTTACTGAAGTCCGTTCCATGGGCAACCCTCCTGCTAGCGTCCGACTGGCCCTTGAAGCCGTCTGCACCCTGCTTGGCCACAAAGTCGATAGCTGGAAGACCATTCAGGGTATCATAAGAAGAGATGACTTTATTGCTAGCATCGTCAACTACGACAATGAAAGACAGATGACTAGGAATCACAGGATAAAGATGCGCAACGAATTCCTTTCCAAGGAAGACTTCACCTATGAGAGAGTCAACCGGGCTAGTAAGGCTTGCGGTCCTTTGGTGCAATGGGTCGAAGCTCAGGTGAACTACTCTGAGATCTTGGATCGTGTCGGTCCTCTGCGTGAAGAGGTTGATCAGCTCGAGGAGCAAGCCCTTCAGACCAAGGCTGAGGCCCAAACCATTGAGAACACCATCAAGGGCCTTGAAGACAGTATCGCTACGTACAAGGCTGAATATGCTGCACTTATTAGCGAAACTCAAGCGATCAAGACGGAGATGTCCAGAGTGCAGTTCAAGGTTGACCGAAGTGTGCGCTTGCTCGACAGTCTGTCATCGGAGCGGACCCGCTGGGAGGAGGGAAGCAGGTCCTTTGAAACGCAAATCAGCACCCTTGTTGGAGATGTCCTCATTGCAGCAGCCTTCCTTGCTTATGCTGGTTTCTACGATCAACAGTTCCGAAAGGCCATGATTGATGAATGGGTCACTCACCTGACGCAAGCGGGCATCAACTTCAAGCCGCACAATCCGATTACCGAGTACTTGTCTAATGCCGATGAACGTCTGGCTTGGCAAGATCACTCGCTGCCAGTTGACGACCTCTGCACCGAGAACGCCATCGTTCTGAAACGCTACAACCGGTATCCCTTGATCATCGATCCTTCGGGCCGTGTCACCGAGTTCTTGGAGAAGGAGAGCACAGACAGGAAGCTCACTGTTACTAGCTTCCTGGATGATTCGTTTGTCAAGCAACTGGAGAGTGCTTTGCGTTTCGGCAACCCCATCCTCATCCAGGATGCTGAGCATCTTGATCCTATCCTCAACCACGTCCTCAACAAGGAGTACCAGAAGACGGGTGGCCGTGTTCTCATCCAGCTCGGAAAGCAGGAGATCGATTTCTCGCCGTCATTTAAGCTCTTCCTCTCGACGAGAGATCCTTCTGCCACTTTCCCACCGGACGTGTGCAGTCGCACGACCTTTGTCAACTTTACTGTCACGCAGAGCAGTTTGCAGACCCAGTCTCTCAACGAGGTCCTGAAGTTCGAGCGTCCAGATGTGGACGCCCGTCGTACCGATCTGGTCAAGTTGCAGGGCGAGTTCAAGATCCACTTGCGTCAGCTCGAGAAGCGACTCTTGCAGGCCCTGAACGAGTCACGCGGTAACATTCTTGACGATGACAATGTCATCGAAACTCTCGAGACCCTGAAGAAGGAAGCAGCAGAAATCTCCAAGAAGATGGTGGAAACCGAGGGTGTCATGACCGAAGTGGAAAATATCACGCTCAACTACAGCATCATTGCCCGTTCTTGCAGTGCTGTGTTCGCGGTCCTGGAGCAACTTCATCACGTCAACCATTTCTACCAGTTCTCCCTGCAGTTCTTTGTTGATATTTTCAACTCTGTTCTGTACCAGAACAAGCGCCTCGCTCAAGAGAAGGACCACGCTGCGCGCGTACAGATTATTCTTCGCGATCTTTTCGTGACCACTTACCAGCGTACTTCATTGGGACTGATCCAGAAGGACCGCATCACATTTGCTATGCTTCTTGCCCAAGCAGCTCCCTACCCTATGGACAAGAGAATCATTGATATGATTCTTGATGAGTCGATGGAGAGCGTGGACCTGTCAACTTCACCTGAACTCAAGGAACAGGTCATGAACAAGATTGCCAATATGTCGCTCTACAAGTCCATCTTCCCTACGATCGCTCCCGAGCAATGGGAGCAGTTCTTTAGCGAGGAGCTTGCCGAAAACTCAATCCCTGTCGTCTGGGAAGAAACCACGGAAAACATTGACAGACTGCTGCGCTCGTTGTTGCTTGTGAAGCTCTGCAGAATGGACAGATTCGTGCCAACTGCCGAGCGGTTCATCGAGGCCGTCTTCGGCAGAGAACTCTTCGAGGGAAGCACCGACTTGAAGGACATCGTTAGCCAAGTCACAGCAACCACGCCAATTGCCCTCAGCTCCAGCCCTGGTTTCGATGCCAGTTATAAGGTCGATGCTCTTGTCGAGCGCATGAACGCCACCTGCGCCAACATCGCGATGGGTTCGAACGAAGGTCTCGAGAGCGCTGACAAGGCGATTAGCAATGCAGCTGCCGCAGGAAACTGGGTCCAAGTCAAGAACGTACACCTGGCGCCGTCATGGCTGCAAAGTCTGGAGAAGAGGCTCGAGTCCCTCAAGCCTCACAAGGACTTCAGACTCTTCCTTTCGATGGAATCGAGTCCCAAGATCCCGGTCAATCTCCTCCGTGCCTCTCGCGTGCTCATGTACGAGCAGCCTGCTGGTGTGCGCGCCAACATGAAGGATTCTCTGTCCTCGTTGTCCGCCCGGGCCTCCAAGGCACCTGTCGAAAAGGCCCGTGTCTATCTCCTCCTTTGTTTCTTGCATGCGGTGGTCCAGGAACGACTCCGCTACGCTCCAAGCCTGGGCTGGAAGGGATTCTGGGAGTTTAACGACAGTGATGTAAGTCAAAACCACCCGAAGCTCCAGTATTATAACATCCCGCTAACATAACCTCTATAGTACGAATGCTCCGCCCACATCATCGACTACTGGGTTGACACCATCGCTCAAGGCCGATCCAACGTGGCTCCTCAAAAGCTGCCCTGGGACATGATCCGCACCCTCGTGACCGAGACCTACGGTGGCAAGGTCGATGACTACGCCGACTTTAAGCAGCTCGAGAGCCTTGTGACCAGCCTTCTTACTCCAGGTGCTTTCGAGGACGAGCACAAGATTGTTTCTGGTGTTGAAAATGACGACTGTCTTACCCTGCCTGGTGGAACAAGCATCCGTGACTTTGTCGAATGGGTCAATAAGCTGCCTGAGCGCGAACCCCCGACCTACTTGGGTCTGCCGGCCAACGCGGAGAAGTTGCTTCTGGTTGGACATGGTAATAAGATGATTTCAGATCTGTCTAGAGTGACGACGTTGTTGGATGAGGGGGAGCAGTTGATGATTGAGGCTTGATTTGGTGAAGTGATAAATGTATCTGGAGGTGGAATGACATCGTTTGTTTATCCTGTATATTGGTAGAGTTTACATTGCGTTCTATTTTAGATCAATGGTCTGTTCTATTCCTTGTTCTCCTATTAATAGCTTCTATTTCGTTTACTGCTGCTGCTGCTGCTACTACTACTATTGTTCCGTGCATGAGAGTGACGAACACGCCCAGGAAGGCCCTGACAAAAACCGTTTGCATTGTACTTAAACTGCTTCCGTTACTCTATGCTAGGAACATATGCTATTCTTCAGCAAATATAGTATCAATGAACTAATATCCTCGCTCCTACACTACCACCAATCAACCAATACTATAGATCCACTTAAACAATCCCTCATCTATAAACTCCTGCCTTTTAAACATGGCAGCGAATACTTCTCAATTATCCGTCTCTCAGCAGAACCCTCTGTATAGAACCACAACGGAAGTAGAGGATAAAAATTTTCCGGTGCATTCGTCGGATGCAAATTTAGAAGGTGTTTGGTTCATCTTCAAAGTAATCGATTCCCATCCATACAAGCATAGAGATAACGAGCATGCAGATGGCCTGCGAATGATGAAAAATGGGTAGGAAATGTGTTTCACTCCCAATCTCTCAGTGGTATATAGTATTTTATTATCATAACAACCTTGCGAAATTAAGCCTCCTATTCATCACCATCATCTGGAATCTCAAGGTGATTAGCACGGCTCTGCCTCTAGGAAAAGCACAGACGCAGTGTTGACGACGTTTCGTCAATTGTTCTCGTCTGGCCTTCAGCTCTATGTTATCGAGAGCTTTATGACCGTCTTTCCAGTCAAAGAATATGTAAATATGGAACAATATCCTGTATCTGGTGGAAAAATATCTACTTTAGCTACTTAGAAAAGGCGCTGCAAATTCCCAGTCGAGGATAGAGATCGTTTGGAGTCAACGACAACATCGACTGTTATGTTGTTGGTTAGCCTCCCCCCGGGCTCGACTATTTCCTCTGAACCCTCACTCATCGTGCCTTTCACAGAATTATTCATAAAGTGATGAAGCTTAAGCATGGGATACTTCATTGGTGGCAGCGGCCTCTCCATTAGTAACCTCTTTCTTTTTGGATTGGTTTCTTGACCTCCCTTGTCACTCTCGATGTGGCAATGTGCCGTTGAGGTATGAGCAGTAAGGTGTGTAAGCGGCAGAGACAAGTCTGTGGATGTGCCGTAGGGGCGCCGAGGAAGTGAAGCAAGGATAACATAATACAGCTGGTCCAGAAATATATGTGATAGGTGCGCAAACGGTGTTCCTGTGTCTTCCCGAGCATTACATGCGGCCAGGAATGACGATATAAGGCTCCGGCGCAGTATAGTAATATTAAGCGTCTAGAAACTAGATGGTTTTGGTCCGTTGTGTCACTGTGGTTATCCAAAGACACTATGGTTTTTAGATTAGTTAGTAACGGTGCCACGATATCAGATCTTTCATGAGAACCAATAAAGCCGTTTATATATTCCTGTTTAAGGAGTGAAAACCAAACGTCCCCAGAACATGATAGTCGTGAGTGATTGTATGGCAAATTAGCACTTCTATTCAAGAATTCCCTTCACCCTCAAGAGACCTTGCCTGTCTCTTGCTGCTTTTCGTCGTTGGTCCATCACCCTATCCTTTGGATGAGTCTTCGTCACTTGAAATGCGGAGTCTATTAGTATCGACTGGGTTTATCGTACTTTGTGGTAAGACAAACCCGCAAAATTGAATTGATCAGCAGCGCAATCCAATCTTCTAATGAACGACTTATTATCAACGCATTAAAAGGGAACCTGGCCATTCACGTCTTGTAATCTTGCCGCGTTAACACAATCTTCTTACTTGACTTCAACCAATCAACCACCAATTGATTAAATGAGGAAGGGATAAAGTGCTGCTTCGGCCAATGAGTCCTCTGCTGGGGACTCAGTTCTTCAATGACATCTAGTGTATATCTTGAAGACACGACTATAGAAATGGGGTCACTGTTCCGTGGGATCTCTGCTTATGTAGTTAGTATTCATAAATAGTGACATAATGTAGAAAATAGCACTGATTCATACTCACAGCGTAAACAAGATCCAAGCCTCTCAGGATGAGCCATTATGATTCAGGCCAATATACACTGCTTCCCTCCTAGACTTGTGTATCATCAACCCTCTTCAAGTCAAAAATATAGTTATTGTCTGTAGGCATCGGAATCTGCCACTCCTGCTCCAAGGCGGTCAAAAAACATACAGAATGCTGACTCAGTTCTCTCGGAGCTGTTCGAAAATATATCCGCTTATATCCGTCTATATCCGCACTATTCTCAGCGAGGTCGACGAGGTTCTGCCGCTTCTGGCGGTCAGAGGAGCGGTCAGACTAGGCAGGATTTGGGTCGCTCCAAGCCTAATATCGATGAAGGTAGTACGGTTCATAGATAGTATTCCATGAGTCCCAGTCACGCCAGCTTTGAAATAGGCGTATCGTGCAGTCTTAGTACTGAGTCTCATTATTTGTAAACGAATGCGTCCGATGTTTTGCTGCAGGTAAGTTTGAGGCCTAGATAATAGTTTGTTGTATAGATGCATAAAGAGGAGGACATATTTCCAAGACCTGCACAGTATCAGGTCAAACATGCATCTCTCGGAAGTTACAACAGTAAAAGTGTCACACTAATCCAAGCGAAACCGTTTATATTGTTTGGCCTGCATATATTCCAGGTGCCATATCGGTGCATGTTCGCAAACCCAGCTTGCGAGTTATAATGATACAACCTGGGCCTCCTTCCATATATCTCAGCCATTTATGGTCATACTCAGAGACCGAGACTTATCTGAAGTTTGCTTTTTTTCTTCAAGTTTAGACAGGAGCACTCGTTCATCACCGCCCCCGGCCTGCTAGGATAGTCCTTGATCCAGGCAACAATCTCCGCGACTTCTTGCATATCTTCCGTCAGGGAATTAATGTCTCTCCACGATATATGTCAGTTGTTTGCTCTGTATGTGTTCTGGATAATCTCGTAAGATATATAGTTGAATGATATATGACCATCCCGAATAATGTTAGCCTCTTCGTCATGAGTGGAGGCTCTTTCCTCTCATTGTTGGCTTAGGAAATGCATAGAATTACCCTGAGCCAGGAAGCGGATTTGGAGTGGGTGATATGTCGGTGTCATGCTTATGTGTTGATAAACTGTTGTTTGGGTCTGGAGCCATTCTGGAAAAGCTTCCGCATGTAGGTATGGTATTTGAAGTACTACCTTCTTTAAATAGGTATTCGGATGGTCTTGGGGGAATATATATATGGATGGTTGTACCCTCTTGAACCTAATGGAAGCAGACACTCTCTGAGGATAGTAGCGAGCACAAGGCTCATTTTCGCGTATTCTTGAAGCATTCCTGATTAAGTATTACTAGTAGTACATAATATTATATAGATTGAAATCTCCTTTATAGAAGTACTACTACTAGTCTCCTGAGGGAATAATAAGCCGCAGCGCAGAATATGGAGATGATGAAGAAGAAGCAGAAGCAAGTTCGAAGGGTCGGAACAGGATATTTATATTGCTGCTACAAACTACAATGCACTCCGAACATAGTGAAGAAAAAGAATGCTGTGAAGCCTAAGGAGGAAAAAGAATGCTTGCTATTCACAATATCCATTCGCCGCAGGCTCGAAGAGGAATTGATATATCGATATCAACCTCATTGAATAGAATGGAAGATTACTGCTTACTGGCTTCTGCAAAAGATTTAGCTTATCAGATCAAGTTCGGTTGGTCTTTGGGTGGCTGAAAAGTTTTATCTTAGCTTGTCTTTGCAGGTTATATGTTATAGATGAGTGGTAGAAGCTGTGATATTAGTATGTAGGTAGTTTGGCGGAAGAGGGCTGTTTTTGGGGTCAGTTGTTTGTTGGTGCCAGTTAGTTGGGTGATGTTGGGGCTTGCTGTTACTACTATGTTTTGATTTGTTGATAGCTTATATCTGTGCTCTGCGAAAGGGAAGAGGGGAAAGAGATGGATGAATCGATGTCTTCAATCCTCCATTCGGTGCTCAATTGGACTATCATTTTGTTTGATGGATATCTATCGAGTGTTGTCTGCTTCCACACTACCCCTAGAAAGTGGACGACAATATCTATCCCCATCACATCATACCACGTATCCTACATAAGAGACATACTACGAGTACTACATGTCTTTGCATGGCATGTCTTAATCCAGTCTCATTCAAATCACCCCATGTAGACTAGAATATCTGCGCGCCATACCTTCCACCACAGAAGCAACAGATTTCGAGACAACAAACGAAAAGCAACAGCGGGAAGTCCCATCACCAACAAGCCACAAAATTCTCTCACCCTTTCCGTAGACACCACTTCGACCCGTCTATCCTAACGATCGACCGAATCGTCCAAAAGAACAAAAAGTCTGGCATAGACCAACGGACATGATCGAGAGACTTGTTGCCTGCGACAGAAAGGGGTACCCATTTAGCCAAAGCCGTAAAGTGTGTGGCCCATCTATTTCGTTAGAGATACGTTAATATCTGTCCGTTTGACTAGGTTGGAGGTGGAGGTATATGCCCAGTAACTTTATTTACTTACACGATTAAACGCAAAGACCACCTTCGCCAGCTTATGTCAGTACACGAATCTGAACAATATAACATGCTGGGAACTCACGTCTTGAGTTCTGACCAACTAGGAGTATAGAAGTTAGTCCATGCTGGGACAATTGGAGAATTTAGAATGTTCAATGAAAACGTACCTTGCGTTCGTGGCCCGGAGTGGTGGACGACTCCATCACGAGGATGATTTGTCTTATGATCTTGAACAGTTAGCAACCAGTCCCCAAAATATACATATCAAAGTCACTCACCTCGGTAAGGCGGTTTTTGACCGTCTTGCGCACTTCCGGATAAACGTCCGCGCTGATTCGGATGACACCACCACGGCGGGCAAGACGACTGGATTCAGTAATCAGTTAATTGGTGTTTATTTATGGTACACGTGCTGCTATCTCGGATAACGCGTGTTTGATGGGGTTTGCGTACCGGATCGAGGGGCGGGCTAGCCTTTGTTAGCGGGTGACTTGTAGTATTTGATCTGGAGTGATTTGTTAACTTACTTATTCCATCTATGTTGTTTCGCAAGAGCTTTCTGCAGTGGGATCCATTGTTAGTATGTTTCCCTGAAGTAGACATCCCCGTAACCCCGAGAAAGGATCCGCGAGGGGAAACAATACCTCAACCGCTTCTTCGGGAGGAAGCGCTTGCTTCTTCTATCGGTAACTAGTCTGGGGTCCATGACGACGATGACTTGAGTTACCACTATCTAGAGAGAGGAGCTGTAGAGGAACAAGATGATGAGATGGAAGATTCTTTATGTATTGCATAGTGAACTTGGTGAATGAACCGTGCAGTTGCCATGCGTGTTAGTGCTTGGTGCATGAAGCAAAAGCAAACGGGGCCAGGGGGAATGTCATGGCAACAAGCGGGTCTGTGCAGTGAAGCATGAGGTTGAGGAAGACATGATTGAGTAACATTAGATATACCCTCTGGGAGGTTTATGAACTATTAGGGATGGATATTTGCGTAGCATAGCGTATAGATAACGTCAACGGGAAAATATCAAACAACACTCAGAACGCCTTCGATGGGGTCCATAACCATGCCATATGCACCTGGATAGGTCTATGAGATGAACGTGGCCTCGGAGAACATAGTTCCCTCCTCAGTGACTTCGGAGTCGCCGACCTTGAGCTTCAGAGAGAGCTTCTCTTGAGGGCAGTACTAGAGACCAAAGTCAGTATGATCAACCAGAAACATGATAGGATCCAAGCACATACCTGGAAGATGTAAGGTCGCGTGCCGGCAACACTGCCAGCAATGGTCTTGATGAAGCCGGGCACTTCCGCCATCACGTCGATCCGGTCCAGTCGGTTGCCAAGAGCCCCGTCAAGCTCCGCATGGACTTCTTGTCCCTCCTTAGACTTGCCATCCCAGACCCACTTGATGGACTTGGGCTCGGGCCAGTCACTTTCAGCATCTTGCGATGATTCGGTGTGAGTGGCGCTGTTGTTAATACCAGCATAAATGATCTCTCCATCCTTGACAATACCGCCGACGTTGACCGTTGTCGATCCGTACGACGGAGGGGTAGTGTATTCCATCATCATGGCAGAGTAGGTGGGGGTCTGGAAGTTGACAAAGTTCCACCGCGCAGCTATGCAAAGGTCAGAATGTTCCCTCTTCGAGACGTCGGCGTGCAGAGAAGCTTACCCGCGTGGTGAGGCTTCATGCCCTGAAGGGCATGGATGAACATTCCCCGGCCCGTGAGGTCGTACGTCTTCTCCTTGGTGGTGATAGTACCCTCAACGGCACACCGGGGCCAGAAGGCATGGCTCATGGAACCCCATGGGTTCTCGGGGTCCGTGCCAAAGTACGACGTGCCGTCCTTGCCGATCATGAAACCAGGGGAGGAGCGCTTGAACGTCAGGTTCACCAGACTATCGTCGTTCACAGCGGACTTGATGGTATAAGTATCGCCATCCTCGTTGAGTTGTACAGCGAGGTTGTCGGCACCAAAGGAGAGCATGCTTTCATCGAACATGAAGTTGGACAGGGGATCCGAGTGCCAGTTGTGGGGACCATCGCCTTTGAGGTTGAAGATCTTCGATGTGAACTGAGCGGTGGTGTGGAGACCTCTGTGGGAGCACGAGCAGCATTAGAACATGAGAAGAAAGTGAGGCGATGTTGAATTATTGCCAAGTAAAGGTACAACTCACACGATGTTGCTGTAGATCAGCTGAACCATCGCCAAGGTACCATCATCGGCCATGATGTAAAAGACCTTGTTTTCGACATTGGTGTACTGGTAAGCGCGCCAACGCAGGTCATTCTTGCTGAGCTCGGTATAAGGGGTCTCCTGCGCCTGGCGGGCGACAGATTGAATGGCTTCAGGCCCATAGATGGGTTCCTGCGTACCGGCAACGGAAGCGAGACTAGAGGGGCGGGGGACTTGAGTTAGCAAACAAAAACATGTATACCAGTCGGACTAAGAGACTGAAAAGAAGAGCGAGCATACGTTGACTTGAGCCAGTTCATTATGGGAGATATGTGAGGTGTTGTGAGGAATCACAAAGAACAGAGGGAGGTTGTGAAAACAAGAGGATGGGAAGATGTGAGGAAAGATGGAAATCAAATCGATAGCGCGCGGGGCCACAAGGGGGGTTCGGTCGATCGTTCTATAGTAGCTTCCGGTGGTCTGGACAAATGCTGGGACGAGCAGCTGGCGGGCGGGACAAGACGGGAAGAAGAGCCCAAAGAGTACTTGGAATCACCAACAATCACAGCTGGTCTTCTGCCAACAGTAAAGGATCAATGGGGCATCAATCCAAACGAACCTCAGTGCACCAGATGAGTGAGTTGGTGGCAGGTGAAGCGCTGACCGCCAACTGGGCGCGGAATCCGGATGACGTCCAGCACTTGAATTGCAGGCGGATTTCCTGTTTGGGCTTCGCTTGTGTCCCAAATGGAAAGTAACGCCGACCCCGCGGCGCCATCCCGAATCCAGAACCCCAAGAAAACTTGGCCGCAAAAGACGCTCGCCGACTGCCGCATTGATTGTTGTCAGTTGCTGTCCAGAAACCCCCAACCGCTCCCTCACCTCAGCTTCAAGTCGCCTTTACTTCGTCTTTCACCCAACGTACCATCGACTATCACCATCATGGCGAAGAAGGCATTGGCCAAGGACCAGATTGTGAAGCTCATTGTGGGTGCCGGTCAGGCCAGTCCCAGTCCTCCCGTCGGTCCGGCCCTGGGTAGTAAGGGTGTGAAGAGTATGGACTTCTGTAAGGTGAGCTGAAAGAACACTCCATTGACAGCTTTAAATCGGATCCGTCATTTGCAAGACGTCCAATTGGAGCTATCTGAAGTAGAAGAACGCGCAAGGCTCATATGGTTTACTGTAGGAATTCAACGCCAGAACTGCACACATCAACACCGGTGTACCCATTCCTGCGCGTGTCACTGTCCGACCCGACCGTTCCTTCACCTTCGACCTCCGTACTCCCACTACCACCTATCTGCTGTTGCAAGCGGCCAACGTGGAACCTCGCAAGAATCGCATCCGTGGCGCCCAGAACCCGGGCCATGAGTTCATCGGCAAGATATCCCTCAAGCATGTCTACGAAATCGCCAAGATCAAGCACTCCGAGACGCGACTGTCTGGACTGAGCCTGCAGGGATTGTGCAAGAGTGTCATTGCCCAGGCCAAATCCGTCGGCATCCAGGTTGTACCATGAGATTATTGCGGAGCGGGCGATTGGTGATGTCGTTGTACACTATCTTGTGCCCTTGCTCTCGTAAGGTTACTCCTCTTCTTCTCTTGGGCTTACGAAATTGGCGTTATGTGGAACTGGGTTTGTTACCATCTGTATCATAGGCATTGCATGTTGTATAGAGAGCGTTGGCTGGTGCCTCAAGCGATCACAAAGTGGATTTGACTTCCTGAACATGAAAAAAGGGTCCTGAGTATAACGGTGGGCGTAGTGTTGCTGAATGGGCTATTTTGGGTTCCTGACCAGGACCTGCCGGTCTGCTGGTTGTCACGGTACCCCTATACCAAGTAGTATCGAGTCGGGTGGAAGCCCACTCGTCATCAATAGCGACATACACACCTGTCTTTACCTACCAATCCATGCCATATCCTTGCAAGGGCGGAGTTTCTGTTACTTTCAAGATCCAGCAGTGGTTGAAAAAGAGTAAGAAAAGGGATACTAGACTGTCGGTTGCTGAGCAGTCAATATTGGCACTGATCCCTCGCCAAGTTGGAGATCGGAGTGAAGGAGAGAGCCGAGCGAGACACAAAAGCCTGCCCAGAAATACCGCCGAGAAAGCCAAGAGGCGGAGGACACGCAAGTTTCCTCCTAACGTCTTGGATACGCGGCCAGGTGAGAGGTCGGGGGAGGAATCGTCGTACGGTTTTGTAACAGACAAGCCCCTTTCTTCCACTATTTTGCTTGGCAGACATGAAAAGCTGTTTCTCCGCTCGAATCCTCAGAAGTTCCCTTCTTGGCTTCACAACGAAGTAACTCAGTCAACGGACGACAGAGATTGACAATAGCAGCAAGCCGGGAAGCAGGTAGGTGATGGTTTGAGGCGATGATGCCATAATCTGCAGATTTGCTGGGATTGACCCCACATTCTATACGTGTTTCTGGAACTGCATCAGAACCCTTGACAAGGGGCAGGAGGCGACTATCTTGAAAATGCAAGTAGCTGGCCAGATTGGGAAATTGGCCATTTACACTTCTCGTTGAAAATTGGCGCTCGTCAGTAAAACATAGTTGGGAGCCTTCAGCAGACTGAACAGACTTGCAGCGGGCAGCCAGCCTCTTCCTTGAGGATACGAGAGTGCTTATGAGACGGCTGCTGCTTCATCGTTGACTCTGTATATCTACCCCAGCCTCACAACTCTATAAGGAGAGAGACCCAGCCGTCATTAGTATTCATTCTTCCCGTCGAAGCGGAAACTTTCCAGATCGGGCTGGGTTTGCCCGTCCACTGGATACCCAAAGCGGTATGCGGCGCCCCACACCAGCACTAGACCTAAAACAGCATGGTGACGCTATCGCGGGTTACCTACCTGAACAGACAGTTGCTTTGCTAGTTGTCAAATAGTCAAATTATAGTCCAGTAGGAATTGGGTTAAATCGGCGAGAACATCAAGTGGATAATTTCCCGCGTCTCCGATCCCGAAGGCCCCGATGATTGATTGACAGGAGGCGTGTGTGTCTATGGACATGGGCAGGCAGCTGACGGACGGACAGATGATCGAAGTGGTCGATTCATCAGCTGAGTGGACCGTGGGTTCGCCCTCACTCCAATCTGCATGCATTAAACCCACGCCAGATGAGATCCAGAAGAATCTAGCGGGGTAAGCGACCAGCCCATCCATGTCTGTGGGCTGTGCGGATCGGGGAATCTGGAGGGTCGTCCTCCAATGCTGTTCGCGGATGACAAAACTGCCCGGCTAGACGGCACCGGCAGCTGCTTTTTTTCTCCTCTCCTCGGTGACAACTGACCTCCGGAGCAGATAGGATAGATGGATGGACAGATAGATAGATGAATGGATGAATGGATGGCAAAAGGCCGTATGCAAGCGATATAACAGACCAACTAAATCCTACTCCATCACTAATCACCGGCTCATGACGGGGCGGCCGTTCGGACAACTGGCGCCGACGTTACCGGTATTTACATGCCTGCCTGCCTGCCTGCCTTACCCGTAACGGCCGTGCCTTGATGTCATGGCAGCCGTTCTCCGGGTCTCTTGTTTGTTTCTCCATCTGATCCTCTACTACAAGATAGTCGACTGGTCTGGGGAGATGACTCCGACTTATGTACGGCTACTCTGTATGATTCATGATCCACACCCATCTCACATCCTCGGTCAGACAGATGCTTGCTTCAACTTCACCCACTGTATGAGGTTGGTAATTCCCGCACCATTACAGTCCCAAGTCACAAGCTTCCTTTCCCAATCTTTTGTTCCCCTCCTTCTCCGCCCAATTCCGATTGAAAGAGCAGTCAAGATCCAATCTTTAGAGCACGGGGGGAACGCTTCGCTCCGACCGACCGCCAAGTAAACACGGTACAGACTGCATGTAACTTTGTGTGGGATACTTTCGTTCCTTTGGGTTTGAATTTGCAATAATGATGCTGCTTCCTTCTGTCCAGCCCTTCTGTTTTTTTTTCTATTTTAGGCCGGGTGACCAGCTAGGTAATCTAGACCTGAGCAACCCCCTTCCAGGGAGAAAGAGGGTGTCGGAGGAGGCTTCTAGAACGGGGGCTAGAGGAGTCAGTGGTAACGTGTATATATACACAACTCACCTAACCTGGTTTCAAATTCAATCATTCAATGAGGTCCTAGTGTACAGGTGGTATAAAGTCCAGTAAATGTGGTGGTGGTAATGGTGGTAAAGAAAGAAAGAAGAGCCACCGCCCAAAAGAGAGTGTTTTTCTCCCCGTCCATCCCGCCGCTATTGCCGCCGCCGTCGATTTGGCTGGTGGCTCCAATTCCAAGACCGCCGCCGCACCTGCTTTGCTTTTTCGCATTTTGACTTTCTTGTTCAGTTCAGTCTTCCCTGCCCCGGTGGAACCTCTCCGGTCTGCCTTCTCCCCTCTACTAGTCATAACTAGACTAGAACGAACTACCTGACTAGTCTAGCTCCTCCTCCTCCTACTCCGTCCCTCACTACTCCCTCAACTCACTCTCTCTCCATCCATCCTCGTCACTCTTCCTCATTTCTTCACGACTGTCGGTCTCTCTCCCCTCCTCTCGACTCATCAACGCAGCCGTTCTTGGATGGGGCGAATTCCTCCCGCCCCTCAGCACCTTTCCGCCCGTCCAAGTTCCTGCACTGCGTCGTCGTGAGTTCAGCCACTACTATCTCCCGCATCGGTTTCTCGACGAAATATTTGCTCCCCGTCTCGCATACCGAAACCTCCGTGCCTCTCCCACTCTTGTCCCACCAAACGTCTTGGATCGCCTCTTCCCACCCAGCTACTTCGATATTATATAGTGTCTTGCCGCTCTCCTTATTCACTCTGCATCCGTTGTTTTTCCATTACTGTTGAGTTCATTCTCCCGGTATCTCCCGTGGAGGGGCATGTGTCCCACCCTGTGGTCTTGACCAAGTATGACGTCTGAAGCGACGGATTTTGCCCAAGCCAACGACAACATGAGTTCCGGTAAGCACCGCCCTTCCACAACAACCAATCCGGCCTTTTCCCTCTGACTCGGCTACTTCGCAACTTTAGCTGCTGAAACTACCCAACCTCCTGCCCAGATGGCCCCTGGACAGGCTACCGACTTTGCCGACAATGACTACAAGTCGAAGTCGCAACCCGGCCAGGTCCGATTTTCGACGATAACGGAGGAAATTGAGCCTGGGGATTCCTCGGCCCCTCCCCAAGTACCGCTGGCCGATGACTCGTTGAAGGATCAGAAGCAAGAGGAGGAACTGCGGTCCCTGGCTGCCAGCCTACAAAAATCCCAATTACAAGAGACGCGGTTGCGACAGTTCTCGTATGATCCGATCTCTCTTCCATCCTCCAGGGTATGTACTCCACCCAGTTACTCACAATGAAACTGTGCCGCTATTCAGCAGCAATGGTGGCGTGGGAGATCATGCCGCCCACTCCGGGACAGTCGGCTCCTCGCATGGCCTTGCATGATCTTCCAGAACTTCCAGATCTGAACAGAATCTGACTGCTGCACCCCCCCTTACAGGTTGCGTCGCGAGAATCGAGCGAGCGCAGTGGTCGCGAAGCCAATGGATCAGGCCTGCCCTCTCCCCGAGACTCCCCGACAGTGTCCGCCATGCAGTCACCCCCGCTTACACCAGCCGCGACTCACTCACGTGAAGCCAAGTCTACTGATACCTCGTCAACCTCGAATACTACGGACAAAGGCGCACCGGGGCACTCCGCTGCGATGACCCCAACTACTTCCCCGCCGACCAGCGCGACCCTAAAGAACAAAGCCTCTCAAAGCGCTCCCTCTTCACGACCCTCTTCAACCGATCAACTGTCCAAACAGAATAATGTCGCGCAAACATCGTCCCATCCGCTAAATTCCCCGAAACATAGGGCGCAGTTCTTCGTCGGCCCCACGGCTGATGGCGGTGCACAGGACGAAAGCCCTCCGATGACTCCTAGGGTTGAGAGCTATACCCCTCCAGGCGCCATTACACCCGTCGGCGAGCCCAACGATCCGTATGCCCGCAGCAAGCGGCCCCCGCAGCCAAAGAACCTCGCACAACTGGACCAACGATTTATATTCAATGGTAGAGATGCGAAACGTCGCACAAACACTTCCTCATCTTTCACCCGCCCCATGTCTCCTCGGTCCGCCAGTGCAAGTGATCTCAGGTCCACCGAAAAGCGCAGCGGCTTTTTCGGGAGCAAAAAGGAAGTTAGGCAGCAGGAACCGGAAAGCAAGCCCCACGGCCACATGTCCGAGCTCAAGCGCTTCTTCAAACGGAACCACCATAAACACAAGCGTGCTGATTCGCCCTCATCCATACCGTTCAAAAAGTCTAGCCGGTCTTCAGGAAAGAACGGTCCTTTCCATACATCTGATAGTGTTCCGTTTGCTGATGACCATGGGCTCAACTCAAAGTACGGGAAATTGGGCAAGGTCTTGGGTTCAGGAGCAGGTGGATCCGTTAGGTTGCTCAAGCGTAACAGCGACGGCGTGACCTTCGCTGTCAAGCAATTTCGTGATCGCCATTCTTGGGAGAGTATGAAGGAGTATTCGAAGAAGGTCACTGCGGAATTCTGCATCGGCTCGACTCTTCATCACGGCAATATTATCGAGACACTGGATATCATCCAAGAAGGCAGCCATTGGTACGAGGTCATGGAGTATGCCCCGTTCGATTTATTCGCGATTGTCATGACGGGGAAGATGGTGAAGGACGAGATTGCCTGCGCCTTCAAGCAGATACTCAGCGGAGTGGCCTACTTGCACGGAATGGGCCTCGCCCACCGGGATCTGAAATTGGACAATGTGGTCGTTAATGAACATGGCATCATGAAGCTTATCGACTTTGGGAGTGCGGTAGTCTTTCGGTACCCCTTTGAGAATGACATTGTTCCTGCTTCTGGTAAGTCGCGCTCTGCTGATCGACAGTGCCAAATTGGGCTTCCACCTTCTAACGCGTGGCAGGAATTGTCGGCTCTGATCCGTATCTGGCTCCGGAGGTGTACGATGAAAAGAAATACGATCCCCGCCCCACTGACGTCTGGTCTCTGGCCATCATCTTCTGTTGCATGACCTTGCGCCGATTCCCCTGGAAGCAACCCCGTGTCAGCGACAACTCTTACCGACTTTTTGTCTCCCCGCCCACCCCCGGCACACCGGTTCCTGATACAGACCCCAAACGTCACCGCGTCGTTAAATCGTCTCCTGATCTCCAATCGTCTGCCCACGAAGAAAAGGCCTCGCCGGTTGTTGACCCCAAGAAGGGGCCAATCGATCAACCCGTGCAGGCTAATGGACGTCAGGAGCCCCCGAAGAGTACTGCTCAGACGGGTCCTACCGGCGGAGAAGAGAACCGTCCTCCGGAGAGTCCACAGGAACGTACGCCTACCAACAAGACCGCTGTCGAGGACAAGAATGGCCCTACTCATAAGCCAACTCGGACCACAAGCAAGGAAGCTCCCCCTCTTCCAGCTTCATCTCAGCCTTCCGGCCAACGCCAGGAAGTTATCAAGGGTCCCTGGAGGCTTCTGCGACTCCTGCCACGCGAGAGCCGGTATATCGTCGGTCGCATGTTGAAGGTGAGCGTCAATGAACGAGCCACCCTCGATGACGTTTTGACCGACGAATGGGTTCGCAACATCAAGGCATGTCAGCAGGAGCTTTCGGGTGAGGTCATCCGGGCCCCTGGTCATACGCATGTCCTGGAACCACCATCGGCCAGTGTCCCAGTGCCCAGCAAGGCCAAGTGATCTACTTCCTCCACTAGGTGTATGCGATGGTGTTGGACCTCCGCCCCGTTTCTATGTCTTATCATGCCTTATAATTCCCCTGAACCGATTCATCCTACATCTATTTTCCCATTCTCATTTGGCTCTTTTCTTTCTACCTGATTCCCTACGGCCATGATGTTGGTCCGTTTCTGGGCGGGCTGTCATCATGATCTGGCTTGTTACTTTCTCGACGGTGGGTTTCCAACTCGGTCAGACATATACCTGGAATCCACAGTAATCACTTTCCCTTGTCCACTGTTTTGCTTATTTTCTCACCGCCTATGCTGTTGGAAAGTGGATGTGGGTTTCCTTTTCTTCTGGTGCTTTTTCTTTCGATCTAGGCGTTGAGGTCACTGTGTTGTGGAGCGGGGCTGCTCAGGCAAATCACTCTCCCCTATAGAGGGTCGGCTGCTAGATTTCTTGCTGTGAGATGCTTTTCGCATGTTCTTTGCTGCGGTTTCGTTCGCTTTGGTGCTTTTGGCTTCCGCATCTGCCTCGGGAGGGTTTTATTGTTCGCGCATCTGTCATGCCTCGGAGCCTTGTTTGTTCACCCAAATTGTCCTTTCATTGTAACCATGGAGACCAATTACTTTAGTAGATACTATAAATACACGAGTGACTGTATACCTGTTCATTTGGACGTTTGGCTTTGTTCCCTGTAGAATTGTAGCATCTGTCTCACTGCGGAATTCCACAGTTGACGTAAGGCAGGAGATGCGGAGATTGCGGAGTTTAGACTAGACTGGGGCGATAATCGGAGCCCATCAAAGGCTTCTTCCCACGCGACCGGCTCAACAGATCCTGGACTTCATCTTCCACCACCCTCCAACCCACCAACCCTGCCTGATCATGACCCAACCAGGCGAACCGGAGCCATTGGTCTCCTCCCTATGGACCCGATCCCTAATTGTACGTCCATCCCCTTCTTCCCTCCCAGCCTAGCCATCCTCCATCCTCCATCCTCTATCCTTCCATCCAGCCAACCAACTAACCAACCAACCAACCACCCAGTCCGGAGCCATCGCTGGCCTCACCGTTGACTGCTCCCTCTACCCCCTCGACACGATCAAAACCCGCCTCCAAAAAGCCCGCACACACGGCCCCTCCACCACATCAGCAGCACCCAGCCTCTCTCTCCGCCAAACCATCCGCGGCATCTACGCCGGTCTTCCCTCCGTGCTCTTCGGCTCCGCCCCGTCCGCCGCATCCTTCTTCATCGTCTACGATGGCGTGAAACGATACCTTCTTCCCTCCCCTACCTCCTCTAATAAGGATACCACTCCCTCCCGCTCCCACATCATCCTCACGCACTCCCTCGCTTCCTCGATGGGCGAAATCGCCGCCTGCGCCGTCCGCGTCCCCACCGAAGTCGTGAAGCAGCGCGCCCAGGCCGGTCTGTTTGGCGGCTCGAGTCTTCTTGCCTTTAAGGATATTTTGGCCCTCCGCAATGCTCCCCATGGTGGGTACATGCAGGTTCTCGGGGAATTGTATCGTGGCGCTGGCATTACTATTGCCAGGGAGATCCCGTTTACCGTGTTGCAATTTACTATGTGGGAGAGTTTGAAGGAGGGGTATGCGAAGAGGGTTGCTGCGAAGAATGGTGATGGGAGTGTTGGGGTTGTGCCGGCGTCGACAAGTGCCATGTTTGGGAGTGTGGCTGGAGCTATTTCGGCCGGGTTGACTACGCCGTTGGATGTTGTTAAGACGAGGGTTATGCTTGCGAGACGCGGTGGGGATGAGGGCAGAGTCAGAGTTAGGGATGTTGTGAGGGAGATTTCTAAGGAAGGGTTTGGGGCGTTTTGGAGGGGGATTGGGCCCAGGGTGGCGTGGATTGGTATTGGCGGGGCCGTGTTTTTGGGGAGTTATCAGTGGGCGTGGAATACGTTGGAGGGCAAGAGGGAGGTGGAGAGGGAGAGGTTGGAGAAGGAGGCGATTTGATGGGTTGATTGGTTAGTATTAGTCTTGTATATAATTATGGAAGTGGTGGCGGTCTGTATACTAGGGTATGGATACTAAAGATGAGGGTATAGTTATAGACTAGATGGATGGGATTCATATTATAGAACTCTTTCATGATTGTGATTTCTGTTTTTTAGCTTTTCTCTATGGAATTCTCCCTCAACATCCACGACATCTCCTCCACTTGTTCTGGAGTGAGGAGCTCTTTCATCTCCTGCAACGTCAAGAAGTCATGATCCTCTATCGCGAACCCGGGCTCGACCGTCTACACACATCGTCAACCATCTGTATCTTGAACGTTGTCTTATTGCAGAGAACCTACCTCAGTGATCAACAACCCCCTCTCCTCCCCATCGTCATCGGCATGACCCTCCTCAGGCAACAAATAGCTCGCCTTCCACTTCCCCCCCTCAACCACCCACTCCACCTTCTCCCCTCTTTCCACCCCATGTCCCACCACAAACTCCTCCACTGGCGCCTTGCCATCCTTCTTCTCATCCGCGTGAATCACCACATATCTCCCCCGTCCACGATGTAGTGTATGCACAGTCCGACTCTTGTTCCGGTGGAACGCACCGAGCGGCGACCCCGGCGTGAGAAAGTAGTGGATGCAGGTACCGGCGGAGCGAGTTGCCGCGCCGTTGGCTATGGGGATTTCTTGTGGATGGCGGAAGGTTTCCTGGTAGTAGCCGCCTTCAGGATGTGGGTGGAGATCGAGGGATTGGATGGTTTGGATGACGGAGGGGGGTTCTTTGGTGGGTTGAGAGGGAGGGGGGAAGGGTGGGTGGGTTTTGGTCATAGTTAAGTTGGTGTAGGATTGGATCTTTGTTTTGAGGTGCTGGGAACTGTTGGATGTGAGTAAGCTGTGAGGTGGTATTCGGGGTTAGTGTGTGGGTGGTAGTGATGGGATATGAAGCAGGGTATTTAAGGTAGTATTTATGGGATCAATGGTGGTGGATGGAGATGATATCAGAGAGAAAGAAAGGGGTTCTTGGCTATTGCCGCATCTAGTGGGTGATTGATTTCAGGGTGTTGAGTGAAGGTTTATGAGTGATCCAGATGGCATTTTGGCCTCTCTTGTATAGTTCAAGTGCTGTGATATCATGGTGGAGAATGGTGCCGGTAACTGGGAACTCAAATCCGACTTAGCATGATGAGAACAGGCAGAGGGATTTTAGGGATAGCCTGTAAAATCCAGAGCGTATTTGAATGGCTGCTAGTCAGTAGATCAAGTTGAAGATCAATTAGCCGTGGGGGAGAGAAGAAGAAGGTGGAAGATGAGCAGATCCCCGAGGGAAGCCGGGGCTCGTGCCTCCCGCCAGAGAGAGACGAAGTGAGAGAGAGACTCGGGGTGAGCCCATCGTCAATAACATCCCCCATCCGCCATCCTTCCAGGCAACAAACTTCCTCTCCTCCTCCTTCTCCCCGTCCTGCTTCCCCTTCTTTTCTGCTCTCTGTCCGTTCATATTCATTCCTTACTGTGTTATCTTCCTTCGGGCCTGTCTTCACTCCCTACAACTCGGGGAATGTCCCCCTCCCCTCTGTCTCTGCGTGCCTGAGCGATCGTCGCTTCTGCCTCCGCATCGTCCCTTGCACCTCCGCATTTCCTCTTCCACTGCGTCTCGCTCCCCGCCCACTGCATGGCCCGAAAAACAAGCCACCAGAGGGTCACTTATGGTATGTTTGTTGTCTAGAGTCGGTCTGCTGGGCTTGATTGCCATTTACTCCCCGGTTACACCACCGCTGCGTTCCGCGCTTATCTGATCCTCCCTCCATCCCACTTATGCGCCAAAGTGGACTCGAGACTGACATTCAATTTCTTCTCCTCCCTCTAGTCCTCCCTCTGCCTGATGCCCCTGGTGGGCATAGACTAGGCGTTAATGGACTGACGGTCGATACGGACAATTCCATCCTGTGAGCCTTCCCCGTCCTCTTGCGCCAGTTGGTCCTCCGCAAACCCGGCTGCGACAAACTCCGCCCGTTCCCGCGTCCAAAGCCACGCCAGTTCTAACTCCACAATCTTGCAAAGGTATTCCGCTGGTCGCGATGGCGTTGTCTGCTCGTGGGACCTCAATCGCCCCCTCTCGGGCGCATCGTCGTCGAAATCCGGCTCGACAACCTTCAGAAACCAAGTTCAAGCTCACAGTCATTGGATCAACGATATTGTCTTGACTAAGAACAACTCGGCGCTCGTTTCCGCATCGTCCGATACCACTGTTCGATTATGGCGGCCACACTCGGAGAATACCGAGGTACCGCATCCCATCGGCAAACATGCCGACTACGTGAAAGCCTTGGCAACGCCCGGAAATCATTCCTCTTGGGTTGCATCAGGCGGCCTGGATCACAAGCTCTATCTATGGGATCTGAATGGCGGCGGTGAAGTCCTTAGCATCGATGCGTGCGGGGAGGACCGGACGGCAAAGGGTTCGGTCTATGCACTAGGCGCTGTATCGTCCGTCCTGGCCAGCGGTGGACCGGAAAGCGTGGTCAGAGTGTGGGATCCGAAGTCCGGCAAATTGATCACCAAGTTCGTGGGCCATACCGACAATATTCGAGATATCCTCATCAATCAAGATGGCGATACCATCATGACCGCATCCTCCGACCAGACGGTCAAGGTTTGGTCGCTGACAGCGGGGAGATGCATGCACACCTTGACGATGCACAACGATAGTGTCTGGTCGCTTTATTCAAATCATCCTCGCCTGTCGGTGTTTTATTCGAGTGATCGGTCCGGCTTGGTTGCTAAGACTGATACGAGACACTCTGCGGATATTGAGCAAGGTGTCTGCGTTGCAGCCCTGCAGGAGCACGAGGGTGTTATCAACGTCGTAGCCGCCGGAGACTATATCTGGACAGCAACACCGAAGTCCAGTATCAATCGGTGGAGGGATATCGATACCACGGCTGAGATAGAAGCACCGGCGTCAGGGGAACGGAAGTCCAGCGCTGAAAAGGATGCGGCGAAAGGAATGCCCAAGAAGATACCATACGAATCCGTCCTCTTACTATCAAACACATCCACATTCCCTAATTCGAGGGTTCCTCGCGACGCGGCGCCGGGAGTGGCTCCGCATGCACAGGGGCAGGCTTCCGGCTCAGACATGGAAGATGAACTGGGACTGACCCTGCCTGTCCAGTCGTTGCCGGAGGAGACGATAGAAGGACAGCATGGCTTGATCAAACACTTCATGTTAAATGACCGCAAACGAACTTTGACCCAGGATTCCGCAGGAGAGGTTGTCTTATGGGATCTTCTCAAGGTATGCTATGGTCTTGTGGTCGGGATCTGACAAATGCTGATGTTGGCAGTGTAAACCTATTCAATCCTTTGGCAAGCGCCATATGGATGACGTGGCATCTGAGATTAACACCACTGAGAGTATTGCTCACTGGTGCACAATCGATATCCGCACCGGAAGGCTATCGGTGATCCTGGAGCCAGGACGCTGCTTTGACGCCGAGATATACGCCGACGAAACAGACATAGAGGATAGTTCCCAATTCCGCGACGACCAGAGAAGTATGACAAAAAAACTCCTAAAGTTGCTGCGTGACCAAGTGCTGATGACGAGGCAGTCAACCTGGGTAAATGGATACTGCGCTGGCTCTTTGCACCTCTCGTCGACGAGCACGTTCGGCGCGATGCCCAGTATCGTGCCATGGCGGTTGCTAGGGCGGAGGAAATGGCCAAGCTGACCACAACGAGCGCCTCTGCGCCAATGGATATACCGTCAGCAGATGGATCAAGGCGGCCGTTAGGCCTGCAGACTCCTATAGATCCCTCTTTTTCAACCTTCCGGTCCGGATACGACTCCCTCGGTAGCCCTACGACGCCCGGTTACGGCATCGGCTACGCAACGAGCCCGGGGACGTTAGGGTCACCCGTGCTACCACCACATAGCTACAACAATAACAGCTACTTCGGGACATCCATCGGCGAGGCTTCGGACTTCCTAACATCACAGCAAAACCCGGACCTGACTCGAACATCTTTCTCAGATCGATCGAGCGATTACTTTTCCTCATCGTCCAAGCCCCCGGGTCTGACTCCGCTGGACACGGACAAGGCACCACCGACGCCGGGAGAGCCGACGCCAACTGCCCTTCCGCAATCACCGGTCGAGCCTGACAAAGAAGAACGAAAGAGGGGGGCATCTATCTTTGGAAAGAAATTTCGGATGGACTTTCCCAAGAGAATGGGCCGGTCCTCGTCGGAAGCCAAGCCCCAGATTCAAGAAGAGAAAATCGAAGAATCGGACAAGTCATCGGTCAAAGAAGAGAAGGTGTTTGAAACCAATCTTGGTGGCTTCATTGAGCGAACCCGGCACGAGTACGAGGAGTGGCTGTCTGCCAACCCGGGGCAGGAGTTGGTGTCCGCCTTTACTCCTAGTCCTGACAACGAGACGCCCGAATTGCAGATACCTCCTCGTACGGCTGTGTTCATCCAAGAGGAGTCCGGCGACACGGCAGTGGCGTCAGACTTGTACAGGGGCACTGTGGGGGGCATTAGCCAGGACATTGAGAAGTTGGAGAAGCCCATTCCGTTATGGCTTGCTGACTTGCTGCTCAAGGTATGCATACCCCCTAATGGTTATGGTATTCTGGCTAACATCGGTAGAATCAAATGCCTTTCAAAGAGCCAGTTAAGATTGCATTTACGCTGAAGCCTTACGATGATCTTTTGCCGCCTGTGGTCAAGCCAGAGTATGTACAGCGTGCCCGTGGGAGAGTCATGACTAACCAGGACAGGCCGGCTACGAGCGCAAACGCGAACAATAACCGACTCAACGCCAATCGCATGCTTCGAGCCAAGAAGATCCTTGCGTACGTGGCGGAGCGGATTGACCCACCTAACCCTGATGAGCCAGAGGAGGATGCGATGAAGCCGGAAGAGTATCTGGAGCTGTATTGCCAGAAGATGGTATGTAGCTATGGTTGTCCGTGTACATGGGGAAATGCTAACCAAAACAGCTGATACCGCCAAACATGACCCTCGCGACGATACGGGCACACATCTGGCGCTCATCTGGGGATATGCTGCTGTATTACAAAGCGAACGGAAAGAAGGAGATCAAAACCGCCCCAGATGGAGAGAGCAACCACCTTGATGGTGGCTCTCATCGATTCCTTGATCCCGCAAGCACCAGCGGCGAAGCTGGAAGCGCGCCCCCAGGAAGCATCCACTCGCTGACGGCCTCAGGGTCGGGTGCTGCCTCGATCAGCAATACCTGATGACGCCGTGGTATTCTTCTCTGTGTATATTGGTGTTGGCATACCGAGCGTATGGCTGTACATAAGGCGATAGCAAGTGTTAGCGTATATTCAATCAATCCCACGAGTATGTTGTTTAAGGATGCAGTGCATGTTAGGGTGTATATAAATACCCGTAGAAGTGACTTGCTCCATGAACAGATGATCTTCGTTCAGGTCCAAGACTAAATCCTGAGATCGGAGATAACCAGGTTATCTGCAGTCAACGGAGCTCTCACGTGCTGTCACGGTTTGATACCAAGCGGCAATTGTAGTGGTTCCAAAATAAAGTGAAGAACAGGCAAAAACTTACATCATTCTTAGATCCATCCCTCAAGATCGTTAACTGGTAAAGTGACTGGAGATTCCCGATGTAAGGGGAATATTCATACTGCAATCGTCAACCCCACTGCAACTACATATATAAGACACATCACATCCCGATATGCTCATCTGCTACTACTATTAGTAGTTAGTGTATTTCCCCTCATCCCAACTTCAACATCCCACATACAACTAAAAACACAACATAATGACCAAACAATCATCATCCCGATTCACCACCTCCTTCCGCCTCCACAAACAACGAACAACAACCTCCCCATCCACCCAACCCATCCCCGCAGAAACAACACAGACAACCATGTCCGAACAGAACCAAAACCAACACCAAAACCCCAACATCAACCTCACCATAGAAACCATCCACGCCCCATCCACCACCCCCCACAAACCAACCAGCATCACAATCTTCCTCGCCGGCAGCACTCCCCCTTCCCCCACAACCACCAGCAGAGACTCATCCAGTTCCATCCGCATCTCCTCCTTCACCTCCATCAGACGTGACCCAGCCCACAGCCAACCACCACCACCTCCACCCCCAACCTGGCGCGATACCTTCTCCACCCATCTAGCCCATTACTTCCTCCCCAAACCAGAACCACAACCAGACACCAATCCAGATAGTAATATCATCACATCACCCCCCCAAACCATCCACCTAACCATCTACGACCCCTTCCGTCCAGACTGGGACAGCCCCTGGCGCGAAGATCCCTCCTTCCCGCCGTTCAAGGAACAGGTCTCTTGGGAGATGGAGAAGCGGGAACGGGCTGATATCGTGCTGTTTTATTTTGATCCTGGGAGTGCGGCGCCGATCAGTCTGTTGGAGTTGGGGCTTTGTATGCGGGAACCTGGGAAGGTGGTGGTTGTTTGTCCGAGGGGGTATTGGAAGAGGGGGAATGTGGAGATCGTGTGTGAGAGGTTTGGGGTAACGGTGGTGGAGGGGTTGGAGGAGGGGGCGAGGGTGGTTGGGGAGAGGGTTGAGAGGGTGGGGAGGGAGAGGGAGGGTTGTTGAATGCTGTTTATTGGATGGTGATAGAGTGGATTGGCTGATTACATTGGTTAGGTGCTTCGTTTGTGCATCGAGGACTCTTATAGATGATATATAGTGAAGTATGATTTTGATCGATAGATCTGCTGTGTCACAGCCCGAGATACTATAATTTCATAGAAGTTTAGGCATAGATAATATAGAGGATCGAGTCAGTACTAAGTATAGCGTCTCAGCTGGCGACCAGATCATGGACCTACAAAGTGACAACACAACTGGTACTTAGTAGATAATCAGTTGCTTTTCAGTTCAAACTCTCGATTCCCTTTCCCAACAATTGATCAATCTATAGAACCATTACAACGGCGTGTTTTACACTGATTATAAACCGTGCCGATGAGTATCCAACACCACATGAGACCTTTCTGCTTGTCATTCACGCAACATATGCGTTGCTTCAAGGTACATTGTTCCTTCTGCTAAGAAGCATGGCCGTAGAACCAGTGATCCGTTTTGTTGTAAAAAATGAGATGAATATCACCAAAACGATGTATAACGCGTTGTACACCATATTTCAATGAAGCAGGATATCGCTAGAGTAGGGCATGGGATCAACAATATACTGGCAATTGAAATCACATATGCTGCTCGTTTTGTATTGTGCGCCTGACTATCAGGAGCCCAAGTGGTGGAGGCTCGGAACCTCACTTAGATGACGGCCATTGAAAAAGTAACAGATTCGAGTGGAAGATGGTGTGGTGAATGTGCTTGCTATGGCCAAAGCATCTTTCTCTGTCTTTGTCAGATTTGTTCTTTATGTAGAGATTCACGAGGGGTAGGGTAGATAGGAAGCCACCATGTCAGAAGGAATTAGAGGCCCTTCCATGAGTATGACCCTCTGGACAGGAGTTCCATCCTGACCGAGCCGCTGATTCAGTATCCTTTAATATGGGGGCGCTGAGTTTTTTGTTTGTCTTGCGCGAACCATCCTAGTGGGATCGGCACAAGAAAAGATACATGCTATTATTTGTCATAGACGTGGGAATGGTATCGCCATGTCTTACATCAACCATACCCTATGGAACGATGATCTTGAAAGCGTGAATAAGCGGTATCAGCCTGCACCATCCACTTATACCCAGTGTAAGTGTGTTCCGTTTGGGTCTGATATTGGCATAGAAGCGAATCCTGACACGCGATTTTCACTTCATCGCCATTCCTAGCCTAAGCAGTTTTTCCCCGACAGACATAAGCACATTCTCACCATTTATCCAGTCAGATACCATAACCCCATGCATGCCAGATGCGCATCTAAGTGCTCAGCAAGGTCCGAAATATTCTCTGCCTTGATGTGAACAGCCGCACCGTGAACCCCCAACGCGATGTTCCATTATGTTGCGGATGGCAGTTGGGTTTGGAGTGGAAGCGATATTAGCATTGATAGAAATAGAAGAACAAGTCGCAATAGTAGAGGCAAAAAGGAATGGGTAGGGGTGGTAGCGGTAGAAGGTAAGGAAGATAGATGTAACTGTGAGAGGATTTGGTGGTGACAGTACTGATGGAAGGAGTGGTAGTAGTGATGGTTGATATTGTTGGTAGAGCCGGACGTACATCGACCTGAGGGATGATAGTTCTCTTATGGTCTTCTTGGTAGCAGACTCTGCAATAGCGATACAAGCAGTTAAGTTGTGTTAACGATATATATATGGTAGCCATGATCATGTTGTAATCATGGCAGTCACCGGCGCACGAGCATTGAATGTCTGCCGGTACAGACTCATCACCTCAAAACTGCTTTGTTCAAGCCAAACCTCAGTCAACATGACAAGTGTCGCAGCGTGATAGCAGCCCGTTTCTTTACTATGTATTCCTGACAGCACAGGGACACCCACACAGTGCTGTGGTAGGAATGATAGAGCAATATTTGTCCAGCCTTTGAAACAACCAGAACATAGTATATCCTTAAGTTGCGCGTTGCCTCTCACAGGTCCTTCGAGATCGTTCCGTAGCAAGACAATGGCTTGCTGACTTATCTTCCATTGTCATGGTTCAGTGCTTCTGTTCAGACGATTAGTCTTCAGCACGTCGATGAGTTCGGAGCAGCACAGGGTAGTTTGAATATGCTTTTCTAGAGACTGCATTCCTGCTCCTTTCTGTCTGGACAAATTTCCACCGTCACGCTGCTTCATTTGTCCAGGGCCACATATACACTGTTATATATAGTCATTTCAGACCAGAATGTATAGAATCCATGACTGACTGCATTGGATCTTTCGTTATATATCCAGTAAGTGCGTAGGAAAGATAAAGGTGAGACTGAGCGTCGCGTGGGAAGAAGATTATTCCACATATACATGGCTAATGCAGAGAGACATCGTCGTAGTCGGCCATTGTATAAGAGCCTGGAAAGTGCAGAAAAATCATAGCACATGCGGGGGAAAGCCCGTTTCACGGAACGGTATATAAAATGCAAGACTTAGCTGGTCAAGAACGGGTCGCATCCATCGTCCCTGAGATTGAGGGAGGAGCACCCACATGGACTGGTGAAAGCACTGTCAGATCTCGGATGGATCATAGCAGCAGTACTATAGTTGTCAATGGGTTTGTGAAAGGTGTGTATATATAAGCACGTCTGCAACTTCGTAGGCATAGGAGCGACAGTATATAGTTTTATTCATATCGGATGACTGATAGTGCATGTGGAAGAGGGACTGCCCGGTCACATCCTTGAGACCTTCATAAGATAAAACCACCCATGCGTCGTTACTGCAATGGCGCCACTTGGATTGTGGCCATGGGGCTTTCATCTTTATACTTTCTGCGAAAGTTTTTGCCATTGGCTATAGAGATCGGCACCTTTGTCCCTCGGACTTTCTCTTGATAATAATGGAGCTCTACATGACTCTTCATACTGTCACTTTCACGAGCGCCTGAAATGCGAGCAGAGATGATATGGATAGATCCTGGAGGGGAGCACCCCAGGATCTTAAAATATATATGAATGTTTGTTTGAAGGACACTCTGATGAGAATGATAGCTGAACAAAACCGGTGAGGCCTCTCTTATAAGGTACTTGCGTATTCTAGATTCCTTGCTTCTGTAGGAAGCTTCCGGTCCTGTGTGTGCGAGATACAGAAACTGAGATGTCGGAATCTTCCAGCGGCGTATCTGGAAATAATGCAGGACGGGTTTCTCCGCTGTCCTTAAGACGTTGTAATGGCCTGTTAAGTTACTGGTTTTGTGCATCCCAGTTATGCGTCTTGATTTCGGAAATATAACCGAATAATGTAGCTAGTCTACAAAATGCCTGCACCTCTTCAAATTGGCCTTCTTCCGGCGAAGATATAAAGTCTACCTCTTCAAACCCTACCAGTACATCGTTCGATGCGATCTCGGATAAGAGTATAACAATATGGTAGCGCGGTTTGACGATTAGGGTAAGGCTATCCAATGCTTCCCCGTACTTCCTCACAGTTGCTGCATGGCTTGCGCTTTCAGAAGGTCTCTGTCAAATACGATATACGAGTTAACTATACTTGACGCATTAAAGGCGATAAGATAGGAAGTGGTGACCTGAATAAGTGACCATAGTCAAACTAGACTTATATCCCGTTAAACCCCGCAATAGTCCAGTGGAAAGCTTTTCAATTAGCACTATCCCTTGACAGACTTCCAATGCTGTTCCATCACCTGCCTAGCAGTAAGAGGCTTAATATCCGGAAATATCTCATTCAAACTTCCCTCCCTAGCAACCCGCGCCTGACCCGTAGCCATCCAAGTTTCAAAAATAGCCAAGAAGCACTGAAGCCTCTCCTTAGGAAACTTGTTATACGACTTGACATGACCCGGTAGCTCCGTAATTTGTGATGCCTTCAGCTTGTCGATATCATCGTAGACGACGTCAAATTTAACCCCCTTTACCTCCTCCGCAAGCTTCAATAATTCATTGAAGGTCAGTTCGTCACCGACAATGCGGAGCTCCCGGGGCCACTTTTCGAGATCGAGCGCGGCAATCACGAATCGTGCGATATCAAAGGTGTACGTGAAAGTAACTGGTGTGTTGCCATTTCCGGGGATCGCAGCAATATTGTTCTCCATATCAAGTACCAGCACACTGTGCGGGTGGTACGACTTCAGTGTTGGGGGTGCGATGTACTCTAGGAATGTGCCATTATAGACGGGGGCCCATTCGAGGTTAGAATTTGCCAGGGCTCTGAAAGAAGCAAAGTAGTGTTCAAGAGGTGGCAGAATAGAGACATCTCTACGATAATTAGAAGATGTGGTATGAAAAGCAAGATGGAGACCCACTCTTCCGGATAAGGGATGGCAAAGGAGCTAGGAATGAATCTCTTAGTGACAGACGATGCATCAGCAGCCTTGATGAGATTCAGCTGCGATGTTGCGAGGGAAGTAGCGTTGATGCCGAAGGCGCTGATGACCGTGTGGATGTTGTGTTCTTCCAGGAATAGCTTGAGCGAATCGATGTCCTCGTAGTTGACTTGGTATGTTGGGACAAGTAGCTGCTCATCTTCGGTGGGCTCCTGTGAAGCATAAGATGATTCTTACTACACATATGTGGTAACCTAAGCTGACTTACTCTTCGTGTGAGGGCGAACGCACGATGTCGGGTCTGTGAAGCCATCACCTCCAGAAGGGTACGCCCAACAGCACCTGTTCCGCCCGCAATGGCAACGTTGACCATTTTTATATAAGCCTTAATACTACAATGCCAGAGGCAGAAGACTGTGAATTGTCGAGATAGTGAGAAGGGCTCACAGACTTTTATATACTCGTATTTGGTGAAACAATGCCGGACTTAACAACCGGAGATACGGCTGGGATGACAGCTGGAGCAACACTTGGCCGACCAGTCGCGGATACGTTGGCCCACATCATTCTTATGGGTTGCAGGTCCAAATATTTACCTCTAGCCTACCCGATTAAAGGACTTAGTGAGTGAAGCAGTATCATGGTTTCCAATAGGAGGAAGGCATGGTCACGTAATGAGAGACAAGGAATGACACTCACGTGATGTTGGAATATCCTGCGCTTTACTTGTTTGGGCGCCGTGTCCTGTGTATCAGCCACTCTATATAACCTCCCCCTTAAGAGCTCTGTCCTTGGTTTACGGCCTAAGGTGATGTTTCTTTCATCGGTTTAATAGCAGTACCCTTACAATACTACTTCTTGCCTCTTCTTAGAGTCGGAAAATGGCAAACAGGCACAACCGTATCAACTCTTAGTCAATCTATTCTTGTAAGAAGAGAGTTTGGACGTCACGACCACCCGCGACTCCTCCATCATCAACGTCAAGGAAGTAGTGAGACGAAGTCCCAGACTAAGAAGGTTTGCTGGATATGCAGATGAGTTTGTTAAACCTGTTTTCATCAACAAGGGCCAACAAGGCTTTATCTTTCGGTTTGAACACAACAAGAGAGATCTCTGCTTGAAGTTGGTAGGTTCATTATCCTTATCAAACATACTCAAACTGATGATGTATCTATACAGTTCTATGACTACCAAGCACCCTACACTGTCCAAGAAAGAACCTTAGCCTTTATCTGCCCATTTGCATGTGAATCACGTGCCTTTGCTCGTCTATGCGATTTGCACGAAAATGGTCATTGGGCAGTGCAGTGCCATGGATGGATGTATCTTACAGACTCCCAACTTCAGCAGCTTCAAAGAGTAAGTGGAAGGGAGAGACACGACCCGAACTGGAACAATGCCCGCTGGGCGATTGTTAAAGACTTCATTGCTGAGGACCCACTAAGCCGACAAGACGAAGGGTTCCAGCAAATCGTGTCAAATTTTGCAATCCCAAGACGTGGCCGTCTCATGCCCCAGGATGTAAAGAAAGCAAACTATAGAGGAAGTCTGATTGTAGATCTGGGATCTACGTTTACCTTTCCATTCTACCGGTCTTACGCTAGCCTGTACGAATTTAATGCTGTCTACAAAAGTTTAGACGAATATGGATTACCTGATTGGGACTACTGAGACCTATCATAAACTTCGGCTTCTCATCGACTTCTGGTGAAATCACCCCAGAAAATACATTCCTCTTCTGCTAAATCGTTCGAGCATCGAAATTACCTTTAAATCACCCCCGAAATAAATTTCTCTGGCAGGTGTACACAGACTATCACTCTGGCTTGGTGAGATAACATTGAGTGGTACTAGCTACAAAGATGGCATGACCACCATTGGAATTGCGCCCTTGCAACGCGCATATCCATATTTGGCATACGGACCCGGGAAGCTGACGGTCAGCCTGGCACTATGGAGTATGTGTATGCTTGCTGCAGCACCAGGCAATTCCATCCTGATGCAAATCAAGTACCGCTATGACCTGCATAGCTGCATACAAGTACAGGGCGGGTTTTTCAATTTTCAACTGGGGCAGTGACATAACGATTGCCTGAAAGCGCTCAATTGGTCGATGCGCCCCCGGAATCTGGCTGTTGCCAACAGTCATTCCTTTTCAGCAAAGCTCGTCCGCGCTGCTTAGTGGCATCCATCTGGGCATTAGGTTTATCGTAACGCTTCAAGCCAAGACTTGTCGTCGGTGAAGCGAATAGATTCTGGAGCCGTGTCAAGCAATAGTGGTATCGTATGATGTGGGCAGATGGGAAAGTCATCTGGGAAGGACTGAACAAATACGTCTTTAGGGGCTTGGATTCACCTCGATTAAGTTCAATTGATATCTCTTTAGGCCGACAGAGGCTATCATGTAAGATGCTCGCTATGCAGCTGCCTAGATGGCTTCAGCAAGGATATGGCTTTGAGTGCTGGCAAAGCAGCTCAAACCTCGCATAAAACACATTAAATAACACAGTGGCGCAGATGTAGGAAAGGTCGTCACCGCAGCTGAATACACAAGCGAGGAGAGCTTTTATACCAGAATATAGGAAATATGTCTCAATCGGCCCAGGCCACCAATTGAGGAACATTGAGCATGCGGCGTGAGAAGCAGAAACCAGAGCTGCACCGATGTTCACCCAGGTCGGGAAGCTCTCTGATAGATCTTATTCAGAGAGATGCCAGTAATACCAACTTGAATCATGCGCATCAAAGCTAGGGTATAAATCTTCAAGGAAGATACCATCGTAGGCAGTCCTGCAAGAACTTCACTGGGCATATCTCTCTAAAAATAGTAGAAGCAATAATAGGCGCCTTCCAAGTCCACGGAAATCAAACAATATAAAACATGATGGCGATGTTAGCAACCATACAGGTACTTTCGCTCTACCAACGCTTGATTCCAATTTTCCATTACTATGACTCTCGTTCCTCCCTGCTTTAAGCTCCCCATTTGGCAAAACCAAATGATACCGGTTGGGAAATGTCAACCAATCGATTATTGCTGGCGACTGGCATGTCCCAAGACCCAAAAGATGAACTTGACATGGGGACGGGCTCGGGCTCGGGCTCGGCCGGAAGCTCAGGTTCTGCCTCTGGAGGAGGTTTATCATTCGGAACAGGCAATTCGAAATCTTTACCGGGGATAGGAAGTCCATTCTTAATCAAAACTTTCTCACGTTTCTTCCGGTCTTTGGATGAGAGTGTGTGCCAGTTTTTATAGAGGGGACTGTCTGGTATCTCCGGAGCTTTGATCTCAGGCTCAGGCTCAGGCTCAGGCTCAAATGCAGGCTCGTAGGGAGGCTCAGATTGAAGCATAGGCCCATGTTCTTCCCCTGAATTGGCCAAACTCTTCACGTGATGTATTCTGTCTTGCTCCTCTTCGTAGAGTGCCAAAACTTCGTCGACAACAAAATGATCGAAACTTTTACTATTTCCAACCTCATACTCCTTCATAATGTGTCTCAGTTTTCCATCTGTGCTGCTGAATGCGATACTCAATTGTTCTCGAACAAAGTCCTCAAGCCACATGCAGCCAGAAGATTGCTCAAGAAGGTTGCCATATACACATCTTATGCCACGCAGAATGTTGGCTATTGGCAACCTCTCTGCGAATCGGGCCATGAAGGCCTGTGCCATGTTTAATAACCCCGGGATCTCGTACTGAACGGCAGCCTCATAGACGTAGGCCGCGCGCTCGAACTCTATGCTATCGCGGGCTTTGGTTAATGCGGGGATGTCATCCACTGACTGAGGGGGCTCGAATTGGGTTTCAAGTGTCTCATACTGTCCAGTGTACAGGTAATGAACAAAGGTATGGGCAACTTCTGGGTGGACATTTAGCTCGTGATGATAGCCTTCACCCGAGAAGAATGCATGCACAGACTGTGGATCGAATTGTAAACTATCGAAGGGTCGGAGATAATTCTGTGGAATGTTGTAGTAGCTGTCGTTAACCTTGAAGGTAATTATTGGAGTCGTGTAGGGACTATAATTCAACGTTAGCATGGCTTAATAAACACTGAAGTTATGGCCATAATAGGTTATGGGGAGAAGGCACCATAATGGAAGTAGGATAGAGGGATAGCCCTTACCATTCAGCCACTTGGGCATATTCTTTGAGCTCTGGGATACTTGGGTTCACCGGTTGCTTGGCCATGCCATCCTCAGGGGGCGTTGTAGGCTCCAGTGCCATAATTGTTTTGGCTCTTGCCTTGTTCTCCGCCAATTTCTCCTTATTATAGTGGTTCTTGTGTTGAGAGATGCTCACAAGCAATGTTAGCGGTGTCTGGAAGTCTGGGAGGACGCCTTTATATATGGAATTCTTGGAGGTAATAAACAACGCAAAAATTTCGATGATATCGCGGGGATGACTCCTGCTCCAAGACGCAACTGACACGTCATACCTTATCGCTGCATGCAAGGCTGCGATACTCGAGACATGTTGGAGTGCGTTGGCATGCAAAGTGATTACGGGGTTCCATACTGCTGGGACGGGGCAGCCTGTAAGAGCGGCGGCATGGTATGCATATTCAACTTGAGAGCCATGCATGGAGCTGTAAAGCACCAGCTGACACTATTGCCTACAGTAGCACCCTGCGAGCGGTACAATCGAATTGTTGGTGGAGTTGTACTTCCGTTTTAGGAGAGGTGGAAGAGAATCAGCCTTGCGCGCTTTTTGACTGCAAGGCCATTACATGATAGTGTCTCAAGGAACTGCGGAAGAATAATTTCGGAAGCCGAGAGCCTATCCTTAGGAGCGACTAGGAGGTATTCAAGCGCTTAGGTGTCGGACATGGAACATCCCTTCTTAGTTCAGCCATGATAACCGCCGAGTGATTCAGCGCCAACCGGAAGGAACCCCGATCATGTTGTCTGATATCTGTTGGCTCTGCGGGAAATGCAAGCTCACTGGACATCCTTTCGGAATGTGATAGCCAAAGTACTGATGTCCTTATGCGAGTTTGCCCCGGGAAGCTTGCCCGAGGCTGAACACATACCCCGCCGGACACCCCTGCTAGGCGCCTGCGCCAACTTGCATCTGCCTGCTGCGGCGGCAAAGGAATAATATGCTGACATCCAATCAATCAACCGATCATGTCTAACGCTGTCTAGAATATTGCCAACGCGCTCTTTCACAGTAGACAGCCTTGTTAGGGTTTCCGTTGGGCCCCTCCTGGCACAGCCACTTCCGCAGCCACACATAGGCGCTCGAGAGAAGCAATGACGATACTATGCAGATTGAAGTCTAATAAATAGTGTGCCGACATGTCTTGTTGACGGTTATAACAGTGACCGGCCTGGAAAGTCTCTTCTCTACCGTCTAGGGATCCTTTCAGCTCCAGATAACCTTTTCTCGCATCCATAAGCGGGGATCCTTACAGGACATTTCTTTTCCCACAGTTTCCCGGGCAATATCATCGTCAGCCAGTCATGCCAGCAGCACCAATATCTGAACAACGACAGATCTTTCTTGCCTGTAGGGCCATCTTCAGCGGGGTCAACGCAAACATACGGAAAACGAGGGCTATCCGCACACGCATGGAAATGCACGAGAGCTCCCTGAGAAGGCTGATTCCAAATTATAATCTCACCAGGGTTCTGCCCATTGTGAAGCTCCTTTTGGAGAAAGGCCTCTTTGGCTCGAGTGTAAAGGCTCAGGCGTATTTTCCTGGTCTCTTTGAGCCGTGTCCTGTACGGCAGACGGAGCATGCGGTACTTGAACAGGAGGCGTCCCGGTCGAATGAAGAAGTTCTCGAGGAGATCTCTGTTTCGTACGAAGAACAAGGCAGTGAAGGGGAAGAAGAACGAGGGCAAACTGTAGCAGATCCAGCCCCTGTACCAACAGAGGTTGATTTCACCCAAGAGGTGAAAGTAGAACAGGAGAATGATTCGGGTATGTTATGTATCATTGATGTCCCTGTCGGTTCTTTGGTAACATCCATCTCACAGATGAGACATTAACACCTGAGAGACCCGCGGCTTCATTATTTCCTCTGTACCTCCCATATCATGCTCAGCATCGGATCTTGACCAATGTGCAGCAAGTCTTAGAGGAGTGCATATTCGATTTCATGAGAAAGTGGCTCCCTGACAATCTTGAAAGGAACGGATGGGACTGTGCTGCAGCTGTTGAATTGACCAAGTGGACGAGGCCTCCCTTCAGATGGACGTCCCAGATCCCTGAAGATGCTCTCCAACTAACAGACCTCAAACTTGAGTCGATCTTGTCAAAAGTAGTGAGAATACGTCACACCGCTGTACATCGACTTCCGACGACTGCGCGCGGAGTTTGTGATCTCGTTAGGATCGCCAAGAAGCTGGCTGAGGCTCTTGGAGATTCGTTACGCACTTCACAGCTGGAGAGTCTCCATCACGATCTGCAGGATAAGATCCAGATCCTCGAGTTCAACAAGAATGTTCTGGAAGAAAATTTAGCTTGCCAACTCAGAAACATTGAAGAAGAGCGCGAACTGTTGAATCGCCGGGAGGAGAGGCTGAGAGCCAAGACGGTCGAAGATGATAGGGAAAATAAGCTCATGATGGGTCTTCTGCTAGAAGAGTCGCTGGAACAGATATTCAAGACTGAGGGGGCCCACCCGGAGACTGAACGAGGCTGGTCGCGTATGGGTAACAAATGTGCATCCTTTGGTCAGTTCGTCTGTGGCTGGGTTCGAGACAGACTGGCTAAAGATGCTTCAGTCTTTCGTCTCGCGATTATTGGGATCTCTTGTTTTATTTTAGTGTTCTTGTGGGTGCTTGTGCGGCGCTTCATGTATGTAACTGGGATGTTGTAGGACAGGATGAGCGTTGAACGGGTTTAGCATTAAAGAGCGCTGCTGTATTTGTTTATCTCTGCCAGTGAGCCAGTGGAAATATCCTAGTGGTATCCCAGCTACCACAACTCCCCGAAGAAGAACAGTCCTGTTTTGTTATACCTTCTTAGTCAAGGATACTGCAAGCAGGTGTCGAGAAATATTTTGAATTTATCATTGGACCCCCTCGTGTGGAGTACTAAGATGAATTCAAATCGGGCGAGGGGGTTAACGAAGACGCTGGCTAAACGAAGTAGTTTGGGATAACATGAATGACTCGGTTCACGGAGTAGAAGGGATTCTACTCCGTATGGTGATCCACATGGTGATCGCCCGTCCCACCACAGTCAACTAGTCATCTGCAGAGGTGTGGCTTAGACACAGCCAGTATTTGGTTCGAAGAACCGCGGCGCGACGCGACACCACGCTGGGATGGTGTGGCCCTAAAGCAGTTCGTTCTATTTAGTGGAAAAAATAGGAGGGGAAGTAAAGGTATGAGACCCACTGACACTGGATTTAGGATTCTATTGGATAATGTTATAGTGTTAGCATGCACATAGGCTCATAGAGCGCTTCACATGTGGCTATCATCATACAGATAAAATCAGGTTGGAGCGTGCCTAGCCAGCCAATACTGGGAGAGTATGACCTGTTGGTTGTAGTGCAAGCCCTGATTTACCAGCAGGGCGACGTGGTGAGGGATATTGTAGCATAAATCACTGTTTGGCGAAGCCCACAAGGCTGGCGCTAACTGACTCAACACTAGCAGCCTATCGATTAACCATTGAGCCTAGCGAAACAACCAAAAAGGCTAGTGCTGTGCCGCGCATCCATGGATGTCTGAAGGCGCCGCTTTCAAACGGGTCGAGATAGGGTTATTCTAAGCGCCTCTCTTTTGTAAAGGCAGGGTGGTCTAGTGGCCGGCTAACACGGGATGCCAGTCATAAAGTGCCGCTTGCGCTCCTTCCTCTCCGCATTTCTAAGTCGAAGCTTCCCTCATTACCATACTATCCGGAGTCTGCTTCTACATGTCTGATCCAGTCGCGGGCCGAGAAAGGGCCCGCAAGTTGGTCGAGGGGATCTCTAAGAGGCATGGATATCTCGGGGAAGATGTTCTCAGCCAGATGTCGGACGAGGTCCGTCGTCAAGTTGAGGAAGCGATGCTAAGGAAAGATGAAATGATAGGGTCTTCTGTGGTGACGTTAGCAGACACAAAGCCCCCTATGTTCTTCAACAGGCCACTGCTGATAAATCTACCAGGCTGTCCAAGAACCTCTACAATAGCAGCGCGCGCTTCGTTTTCGAGTTGGTACAAAACGCCGATGATAATCACTACACGACGGCCAGGGAGCGCGCGACTGTTCCCTCGCTGGCATTTCACGTCTATCCGCGTCGTATTGTCGTAGATTGCAATGAGGATGGCTTTACTCATGAGAACATTGTGGCAATCTGCAATGTCGGGAAGAGCTCCAAGACAGGTGCACAAGGTTACATAGGTGAGAAGGGCATTGGCTTCAAGTCAGTCTTCATGGTCGCCTGGAAAGTACATATCCAGTCTGGCGACTTCTCTTTCTCATTCCGCCATAAGCCAGGTGGCTCAGGCATGGGGATGATCTCGCCAATTTGGGAGGATGTTGAGGAACAGCTGCAGAGGCCGATGACCCGTATGACTCTCTATCTCCATGAGGATACAGCTCCGCGTGAAACCGCTATGCAACAATTTCGCGAGCTACAGGACACCCTGCTATTGTTTACAAAAAACTTGCAGCGGCTAGGGGTGTTCATGTACGATGACGACGAAAAGCAATTGTCATCAACGGTGTTTGCCATTAGCAGCCAGAATGAGAATCTCAAGGTGCTGACCAAAACACTACTCGCCCCAGATGGAACATCGGAGGAACTCACGCGCAACTACCACTTGACCAAATACGTCGCGCATGACCTTCCTGGGAGTGAGAATCGAACTTATACTGATAAGGAACGGGAGACCCGGGCATATAGTAGAGCCGACATCATACTTGCATTTCCTGTGACCAAGAATTCTGTACCGGTCATTGAACCACAAGATGTTTTTGCCTTCCTTCCTATTCGCAATATGGGCTTTACTGTGGGTTTTTCGTCGTGCAAGACTCTTCAAGTATGTGTGAGCTGACTTTTGCTGGCAGTTTTTGATCCACTCGGACTTCGTGACCGATGCTAGTAGACAGGATATCGTCCGGTCGTCGGCACGAAATCGCAAGCTACGGACTGAAATTTCCATCGCTTTTGGTACAGCGGTGTTAGAGATGCGCAAGCATCCTACACTACGATATAGATGGATGCGCTACCTTCCTAAACGCGACGGTCATCACTGGGATCCGTTTTGGGTGGGGCTGTTGGGTGAGATAAAGTCGCGGTTGATATCGCTTCCGATTTTACAAAGCCGTACGAGTGGATCTTGGTTTCCCATCGAGCAGATGGAGCGTCTATGGGAACATTGGTTTGATAAGTCAGGAGATCCTCTCTTCCCAGATTTGCCCCGGGAGCAATACCTTTCTGTTCATTACTTGGAGAAGGACATTACGCGGCTCATGGAGTATGGCCTAACATTCATGGCAATGCCTGGAATGATCGCACGGGCTAACATGGACCTTGAATTTCCCCATTCCAAAATGAAGAACAAGGAAACCAGCGAAGACTGGCATTCTCGCGCTGCGACAGCCCTCAGCCACTCCTTTCGTTTGGGCTACGATAACTGTATTGAGGAGGTCAAAGCTATGCCCTTGATTCCTCTGAAAACAGGTCAATGGGTGTCTATCAAGTCAGGGGCTGTCTATTTTCCTTCCATTCATGGAATCGATATCCCCAGCGACCTTGGAGTTGGCCTTGTAACTTCGGGGGCTATAAATAACCCACAGCGTAAACAGCTGTTCAAGGATATAGGGGTTCAGGAGGCATCTGTCGACTTCGTTCGGAAGCTGATCAAGGATAATTATTCGGCATATGGCATATTTTTTATTCCCGTGTCGAGGGAGCATCTAACATTTTTGTATCTTACCGAATGCCTGGCTTCTTCTAGCTCGACCGCTCTCTTCGTGCATTTGTTCAACGGTAAGGGCCTGGCGTTTTCCGATCATAAGTACCAGATAAGACAGCCAAAGATTCATACGGTGTATTTCCCCAATGAGGATCCATATGGTGCAAAGGCACTTCTCGAACCCATTCAAGGCGGAGCTCCCGGGTTAGACGTCTCGTTCATTAACGAGGACTATTTACGTGACCCTCCATCGTGTCCCCCTAAGGAGCAGCGAAAATGGATTGAGTGGTTACAACAGGTATTTCATGTCCGGGGTACCCTCTCACTCATTGATCTAAGGCATTCCCCGTTCAGAGCCAGACTGGGGCAAGAATGTCTTTATGTCGCACAACACCGACCGGAGAAATTCATGGGTCTGCTTTTGACATGCTGGGCGGTTGACGGGTCTAAGATCATTCAGCAACCAGAACTTGTGACTGAGATTCGAAGAATCAAGGTACTCTGCGAGGGTGGCGAGAGAATCATTTTGGCTGGTACCTACGTTTCTTCCCCGGCACGGAGGGCGACGGTTTCGAGATTCCTGAAGGACGGGGAATTCTTCCCGTGGTTGCAATTGGAACAGCCTATGGATGAAGGCACCCTTGGACAGCAATGGACTGCGTTAATGAAGGCTCTTGACTTTGGCCACCCCGAATCCCAGACTCACTTCTATCTTGGCATACAGGATTATCTGCATTGTGCTCTGTCTGCTGGGGCCTCTGACGTTAGCAGGATGTTTGACCTCTATGTCAAAATCCAGATGGAGTGTCATGCCAATCCTTCCGCTGCAGATGCAGTTAGGTATGCTCTGGCCATCCAGGCAATTATTGGAAATCCACTGATAAAGATTAGGCACGGCATGTATGACCGTAGTGGGTATATATGGATTCCGCCGCATACCTGTGCACATCTAGGTGAATGTCTTTGGGAGGCACCTCGCCATATGACGAGCAAGTACCCCCTCAAGTCACTGTTTACAGAGTACTGTCGGCAGAACCAGGCAGATGCTGTGTATCTCAGAGACTTCTTTCAAAAGACGCTGAGAATCCCCGATGTCAGAGCGGATGATCTCTTGATCGAGTTGACGAAGCTGCAGTCTGCCAAATGTAGCGAATTTGACCAAATCAGCTCAATATATGTAAATCTGTATCGAATGTTCAAACGGATGTCTTCAAGAACAGTGATGTCTTACCGGTAAGTTCTATACCTCATGATGGAGTCTTTAGCTTATTGTATCAGCAAACGGTTTGTCGAAGATCCTCTCATCTATGTGGCCCCCAATTGGTATACCACTCCAGAGTGCCTTTGGTCAACAGCTACCTCTATTCCAGGTCGCACTGCACTCAATGACCATTACCAGGACTTGAAGGATTTCTTTGTCGATTGCCTGGGTGTTCAGACCCTGACCTTGCAAATGGTCGTAGAAAAACTCCGAAACCAGGGTCGGGTGGGCTCTTCTTCCGTGGACGAAGTCAAAAGCACGATTTGGACATTGAATTCTCTCCTGCAGACAGAACAGACGGACATTGTACCTCCTGAGCAGGTTCTGGACTGCGCAGTATTTCCCGTTCGATTCCCTCAGGGTGGCGTGCAGCTTCAGACTTCTGCGAGTGCGTTTGCAATTGCAGATCGCAAGCACCTCTTCAGTCACTTTAGTTTCAAGGCCAAACTGCTGGATTATGAGGTGGATGAAGTCCCACGCCTTGAGCAATTTCTCCAGTGGACTGGGTTAAAAGGCCGCTATTTATCATCCTGTGTAAAAGAGATTACAATGGTGGGAGGAGATGATGCTCGACCTTTATCTAATCCTGGCCGTGACATTTGTCGAAAGGCACATGGACTCCTTCGGTGGGTTACGTACTTCAAAAAACACAGTTTCCCTGTCTAAACTAACCATGAAACTCCTATAGCGTTGCGGTTCATCTTAAGAGTCCCCGAGCAGTTCAGGATGAAGACACCTTCTATGAAATCCTCAAATCAATCAGCATGAAAGAAACTAACGGGATCTCATCTGAGCTTCACCTCAACCAGGACGGCATGGACTTCAAGGTAGAGGTTTCAAGGAGTGAACTGCACCTCGATGAACGAGACAAGCAACTCACTGTGTACATTCCGGAAGACAAACGCAGTCAAGATATTTGTTTTCTGGGACGCATTCCACTGGCACTGCTGCAATGGATGATGACCGATCCATTAACGCAGATCACTCACGAGTTCAGCGACAACTTTGTCACTATAATACAAACCCTTCTGCAAGCAGAGAAGAATTATGTCTCAGAACTTATGGACCGCGCTGGTATTATGTCCATCGCGAGGGCGGACGACACAGTTGTTACGGAAGAGAGTGAAAGTCAGCAACCGCAAGAGAATGAAAATCAGCAATCGCACAGTGATCGATCATCACCTGCCAGTCGTAGTAGCTCACTCGTTGAACAGCCTACCCCTGAGCGAGATGAGCCGACATATACGCCACCTCGACCGAGACAGGGCTCTTGGGCGTCAGAAACTACCGTTGTCTCACACTCGATGCGGGCCCTCCCTGTAGCTCGCCCATCTCCAGTCCTCTTGCAGGATTATACAGAAACGACAGTCGACCCCGAATACCACCATTTGCTATCGTCTGTGCTTGCGTCTGCCAGAAATGCCATATTCCCCAGCCAAGGCACCTTCGACATGGCGGGTTTGGATGACTCAATCACATCAGGCGCAGCCGCTCAGACCATCCGGCTGCGAACCTCCGACCAGCTTGAGCGTGACTTCAAGATCGGCGCAGCGGGAGAGCTCTTCGTAAGCCATCTTAACTCTACCCTACAAGAAGAAACATATACTGATAATAATAGGTATTCGAACTCCTCTCACGACTAGAGCCACCTCTACCCGCTTTCACCCGTGACAACTGGCAAAGTGTGATCCGCAAATTCGTCACAATTCTCCCCGAGTACTCGGACATGACAGCATGGCATGGCCGCAAGACAGCAGACATCACCTACGACGACCACGACGGAGTCCTCACCTCCCTTTTTATAGACAAGGGATATCTACAGGACGATGTCTGGAGGGGAAAGACACCTCGGTTCTACATGGAAGTCAAGTCCTCTACTGCGGACAACCGAACGCCCTTCTTCATGAGCAAGTACCAGTACCGACGGGTGAGAGATTCTGCATATCCCTTTCCTGTGTATTATTTTCTAACCTGTAGTAGATGCAAGAAATGTCCAACGGCGAGACCCAGTCTGATAACATGGACACGATATACGTAATCTTCCGAGTATATAATCTAGGGCAGCGGGGCATGAGGGTGAAAATATATGTGGATCCGGAAATGATGCGCTTGAGGGAGGAGTTGCTGTTTACTGCTGAGGGGTGGTCGGTTGTTCCGGCTTGACGAGATGTTTCGCGAATGGCCATTGGATTCCGATGATGTTTGGAGGAAGTACCAGGGAGTAAATAGCCTTCCTGTTGGAGGGATGGTCGGATGAGTAGACAAGTTCGATCGTGGCGTGGAAATTCAGGTCCAGTGTTGCATTTCATTTAGGACCTGAAGCAGAGCTTACATGCTTTGTATGAGGTGCGTTTCGTTCTGCTTGTGCTATATTTTCGTCTTCTAAGTATTCGTTTCCTGCATAATACTATGGTTTGGTGTTCTTCCGTCAGCAGTATCTGATTGATTATTAGTCAGTACTTGCCACTCTGATAACTGTACAGAGGTTCAATATTTTATATATATCATTCTTCCAAACATGCAGTATCCGTTCTGGTCCTGTCTGCGTAATTGTTATCATCCTATCCCATGATATCTTGGTATAGGAACTAATTTCATGGTCAGTATCAGAAAGACCTTGATAGAGTCACTGTCTCTGCAATCATCAATACCGGAGCTAACAAGCTAGCTCAAATTCCCAGAGTCAAATACGCTGTTTCTATTTGTGATCTTATCTACTCTTAATCTCCAACCAGATTTGTCGCATTGGATAATATATAACGGGATTACGCGTACATCAAAACAAAGAATAGTTTTCAAGAAGAGGAAGCGAATGACCCGTAGGTTTTTGTACCTGAATGTAGAACAGAGAAATGATAAAAATTGGCGGAGAGTGCTTCGGAAATCAATAAACTCCATTTGCCTGCAAAAATGAAATCATCTGCTGGAAGCTGGAGCTTGCACTCTTATGAGCAGCGATGCAGTGCCCAGAACCTTCGGCCAGATAATATTGACTGCCTGAGGAAGCATTAGGGTAATAGGTGGAGGTGTACAAAGAGGCCTGGTTTTCCGGATAGGAGCAGTTGCCGCCACAAAAAACAAGGTCATTTTCCCCTAGGATGATGTCCACAGGCCCGGTGAAATCGGGGGCCTCGGCGACGAGGCCACCCAGAGTCAGCAAGACTCCGAGAGTGTTCGTCTGTTTACCGGCAACCTGAAGTTCGAATGCCGTGGAGTCGTAGTTAGGATAGCGATAAAAGGCGAATTGAATCCCTGTTGATGTCTCTTGAGTCAGGTAGCCAGCAGGCAACGAAGAAAAGCGGCCCGAAGAATCTGAGTTTGCGTTGATAAAGTTGAAAGCCGCCATAGTGAGCGAGACGTAGTTCTGATTGGTGCTCGTTCCAGAGAGGATAATAGCGTCAAAGTCCTTTGGGTACTGTGTTGTGATAGCCTGGGTCAAGGTACTGCCGGCGCTGTGGCCGACGCCCACCACGTTCTGGAAAGAGTAATTTCCAATTTTCGAGGAACGCAGCAGCTGCGTTAAGGCATGCGTTACTGCTACCTGGCTGTTGGCTTGCACTTCCTGGATCGGATCGGGATGATGGGAATTGCCCACTCCGAGTTGGTCGTAGGAGAGTGTGGCATAACCGGCGGCAGTGGCAACATCCACATAGCTATGGTCAGGACTGATATCCCAGTAGGTATGATCCAGTGTCGCTCCGTGGGTTAGGACTTGGACAGTCTTTACCTTGGCGGCTTTGGCCGCCGATGAAGGTAAACAAAACTTCACATATATATCCCAATCACCCTGGATAAGCTGGGTGCCGTCGGGTGCGGTCACAGGAAGGCTGTTGGTGGTCTGGAAAAGCTCGACCATCGACTCAGTTACTGCGTTCGGCGAGGAAGGAGCGACATAGTCGAGCTTGGTGCCATTGACGGAGATGGGAATATTGATGTAACCCGAGGCGCAAATTGAATTCCCTCCAGATGATTTACCGATGGTAGCGTCGGTCAGCCCCTGAGTTGAGATGGACCAAGCTGCGCTAGGGCTTAAGACAGCCCACCACGGGTTGATGCCGTATGGGAGCTTCATGATTGAGCAATAAGGAAACGATGCGCAAAAGGCGAGCGAAGAGAATGGCTGACAGAACTTGTATATGACACGAGTTGAGGATAAAGGGACAGAAAGTGGAGGTGGAGCTTTTTATGTGTTTCATAGATCCCGGCTAGTACGGGGCAAGTGCTGTGACCGATGATCTGACTGTCCAGAGAATGTCATGCAGCCAGTCACAAGCTGTACTGCCATGTACAGCCAAGTACCTTCCCCGTACTAATAGTTGTAAATATCCGCATGAAGCTAATTTAGCTCCGCCGCTGTGTTCGCTCAGGTCTTACTATTCCACTTCGCCGTTCAGACTACCCAGTCTTTTCTTGTGTCATCCTATAAATAATCCTAGTCATAACCCCCCTGCACCCGCAGTGAAGCAACCCTTGGAGTATCTTCAAGGTAGTCAGAAGGTATCCCCAAAACATGCAAAAATGGATTCCACGAAATATGTTTTCGGCCGCAATTATCGCGCCAGTGTCCGGTGGGTGCCATGAATCTTCGTTTAATTGCCACACCAATCGCATTTGCTAACTACCCGGGCAGATTAAATTACCAACACGCTCTCATTGCGAGCCTGACCGACCATCGATCCTTTCATCCTTCCATCCGCCGGAATATCACCAGCTCCACTTCATTTCGCGTGGCTGATCTGGCTAGTGGCACCGCGTATGGGTTCTTCCTGGCGTGTTCCATAGTTCTTCTCTTGGTTGACCGGTGCTATTAGACTTTGGTCATCCGAAGTAGCTCGTGAATATCCACAATTCCAAGTCGATGGCTTCGATATCTCCTCCGACCAATACCCTTCCCCCTCCTGGAGACCCGAGAACCTAATTCTTCACGAACGGGACATATTACAACCTTTCCCGGAAGAATATCATGGGGTGTACGATATAGTCAATGTGCGGTTCTTCATCACTCTTCTCAGCAAGGAAAACCTATCCCTTTTTCTGACCAACATTTACGCCCTATTGAGTATGAAGATCTACCCCATCAATTTCCTCCCCTCCTTACCCACCTCCTAGTGCGAGCCGATGCTAATGGCAATAACCGTCTATTCAGAACCGGGAGGGTTTCTGCAATGGCTTGACTTAGACCCTCGTAGCGCAAACGCCGTCGCATATCTGGAGGGCCAAAAAAGCAACATCACCACAACAGGTCCCCATACCCATGATCCTGCCAAACCTAATTGCCAAACTAACACACACTTACATAGCCACAGACCACCCATACCCACAAACCATGGCAGTTGCGAATCTGATGCGCAAGACCCCTCCAGACATCGAAAGCTGGCTCACGGACAATCCTCATGAGATCCTCCAGCCATTCGGATTTGAGCAAGTTGCCTGCGACAAACTCTCCCTGCCGGACATCTACCGCCCACTCTGGAATCAGTGTCTTCTCCTTGGCTTGGAAGAGTACTGCAGCAAAGTTGAGGAGGACGCTGGCATGGATGCTGGTGCATCTCATGCAATGCGTGATACACTTAACGGACTAAGCCGAGAATTCGGCGCGGGAACTAGTATTGATGTCCACTGGTTCTATCAGATCTCTAGGAAAATTGAATCTTGAGCTGTGTATTTTCATCTCCTTTTACCTCCTTGGGAATTAATGCCATGCCAGATCTATATCATATATACTTGCCAGAAGAGTAAAAAAGATAAAGAGAATAAGTAACGAGGGATATCCTGCGTGAGCAAAAATGTGAGATGATATTCGCTGTGGACGGTCATTCCCGACGTCGAACGAGATGGTATCATTTGTACATACATAGGGACATATACATACGCCAATACATGCATAGGTACGGATGCTTGAGCTTGTAGAGAAAGAGACAAATAGAAGTTTAAATCGCTTTGGTCTTTCTTGTTGCAAACCGGATTGGCACGTCCTGAGTAATTCGCAGACTCATGTTGAACTTGACTCCTTCCGAAAGCGCGCGGTCAGCCCGGATACGGGCTGCTGCCCAGGTATCACTTGGGTCTTCTGGATCGGTAAGAAGGTAAACGGAGTTTTGGTGGAAAAGCATGGCGACTACGGCGCAGAGTTCAACAAGGGCGAATTTGTGACCGAGACATTTGCGCGAGCCTTCAGAAAAGGGGACGAAAGTGCCGGGGGCCGGGGTAAAACCTGTCGAGCTACGCGAACGATCTTCATTGTCGGGTGCTGACCCCGACGGTTGTGTTTCAAGCCAGCGGTATGGGTTGAAATCTGTTGTAGGATAAGGCCGAAGGGTAGGATCTTCTTGGTTGAATGATTTCTCGGATTTGTCGTTCACGGCGGGCCAATAGTGAGGATGGCGGTGGGTGGCGCTGGTATTTACGAAAGCCACGGTTCCCGGGGGCAATGGGTGAGATTGGCCGGAGACAACAATAGGGATGGCCGGTCCGGAGGGTGGCACATATTTTGGAAGGACTGGGAGGACAGTGAAGAGTCGAAGAGCCTCCTTGATGACTGCTCCGACTAAGCTGCGCATGAGCGGTTCATAATGGGTGTCGTAGGACCAGTGACTCGGCGGGGTGTTCTCTAGGATCTTGTCGAGGTCTGACTGCACTGCAGTTTGGATGGTAGGATGACAGGCAAGAAGAAGGATTACGAAGGTCAGAGTGTTGGCGTTGGCTTCATGGCCGGCGAACATGAAGAGAAACACATTGCCCATCACTTGGTGGGGCTGCAGGATAGGGCTGGTGGAGGAATCGGTGCTGATACCAGCCTGGACAATCAGGTCGCCCAATGACGCTGTGCCCTTCTGGTTTAAAAGATATTCTTTGTCCTGTAGCCGTGACTCTGTCGTCGTCTTTAACTCATGCATATATTGGCCCAGGTCGTCATAAGCTCGGATTGCTTGACGATGGGACTTCAAGGGAGACCATGCTGATACGGCTTTGATTAGCAACGCCATGACTACGGTGCTCCACATGGTTGTTAATCTTACTGAGAAAATGTCTAGGAAAGAGGAAGACGGTTTGATACTGATCCAACAGCGTGTGCATAGCCTCGCTGTAAGTCATTCGGTATCCTTTTGCGGGGAGATCGGCGAACGACAGTGCTTCGATCAGATCTTCTTGGTTCTGAGATTGAAAACAGATGCGGGTAAGTAAATTCAATGATAGTCGAGCAGCCAGCGTGCGTAATTGGTGATACGCTGCTGGCTGGTTCAAGGCGAGCCCAAGTACTTGTGCTCCTTCAATAGCGTGCGTAAACACCTGGCGTAGGGTATCCTCTCGAAAGAAAGGCGCAGTGATCCGTCGGTATAATCGCGATTCAGGCCCATCAGTACCGGTTATCGTCGGTCCGTATATGTTCAGCACCTGCATGAGATGGGCCGGTTTTCCAAATCTACCATCTTGGAACAGCTGTGTGGAGACGTGACGGTCGCAGGTATAGAGCACGAAGCCCCCCGGCGAGACTGCCAAGAAAGTATCGGCTCCGACCTGTTCGAAGGGTGTGTATCCAAGATGCCACCCATCATTGAAGATCAACAGCGGGAGCCACTTAGAAGTCCAAGTCCGGGGAAGAGCCTTCAGCAGTGGTAGCACGACTGGTTGGCTCAGCAGCCATGGGGCCCCCAGCAAGGAGCAGGGTAAAATCACATACGGAAGGCCTGTTGACCGCGCCTCTCGGACATTGAGAATCAGGCAGACTAGCGACCAGCTTGTGAACCCAGCGAGGACAGTGGCGGATCCCAGAAAAAGCCGCCAGAAGAACACATCCATGACGGCGGGGGGCGAGAGAAGAGGAGAAAGGGCAGAAGGGGAGGGGGCCGGGAGGCTCAGTTGATCGGCAAAACGGAGTGAAATTGAGGAGTGACAGCCTGATGATGCTCTAGCATTTAGCCAGGAAAGATGGAGCAGAATTAGCAATTACAGGGACTTTATTAGGTTCAGCCATGCAGGTGGGGGCCGTTTTGTCACTTTTTTCGAGGGTACAGGTGCGCTGTTCCTTCGTTCGGTTGGTGGACCCTTCCCAACTAGCCCGAATTGGGACAGTCAAAGACGTCGCTGCATATTGGCTACATAAGCTCATGCAAGCACGGGTGGTTTGTCCATTCTAACCTAGAGCAAGTCGTGAAGAAATACGGTCTGTGAGAATATAGTACGTTGGAGATTGAGCGTGGAAGCCAATAGAGAGGAGATTGGTAAGCAACCAGTAATTTAGGATACCGACTAGTAGGCGTGCGCCAAGTCACGTAAACCTTATTAGTTGGTTTGTTTGTAAGGAAAGATGCAAATTGGTGGTCAGAAATAGAGTCACTAGCTGAAAGATTCTGTTTGCGTATTGATAGTACGATAACAGCAAGAGGTATGAATGATACGCTATCTCAGGGTATATTTCTGCAGCCTCGCTCTCTACGGCGGGTGGAAATTCCGTGCCTCCCTCATAGCCAACCATCTTGTCAGTCATATGTTCTTATGGTATTCCTCAGCCTGCCTCGTCTCAGCCCCCATGTGCTCTCGTATTGATGAACGCTTACTCTCCTGAATTGGAAGATTTGAGATCCTGGAGTATGCAAGCATAAGAACTAACATCTTCAAGTCAGCAGGGGCCAGCCCCCACAGTTATTCATCAATTTTGACACTTAGACTGCCTCTCTCTGATATGTAGTGGTAATGGTCTGGGTGTTTGCAGGACGAGGTCGTTTTGATCATCGTCCGTGGTACTTGCAGGGCCCCATTAGCACCAATACAACGCATATAAGTCCCGACCTGCAGCACACACCCCTACATAAGCGGAGAATAAGACTTATCCCTGAACGTGCCTGTCTGGCTTTCTATTCTCACTGTAAACTCATCGATATGAGTTCTTCCGAGCTAAAAAGCCCATCATTGGTTACGACTAGCCTCTTAACAGTCTCCATTATCTTTCCCATTCTTGGCACCATCGCTGTCTGTCTCCGCATTTATGCTTCTTTTCTCAAATCCAGGCGACTCTTTTTGGATGATTATATTATCATACTGGCCCAGCTTTGTGCGTGGGGAATATCTATCGATACCTTTACAGCAGCATCGATCGGAGGACTAAACTATACCAAAGGGGATGTTATCTCGGCCACAATTGCTTTTCTCCGGGTAAGCTTTGTCTTCGCGCTCCCTTCGGAAGACATATCACTCAACTGTGGCACTAGGCCCTATGGATTGAAGGATTCCCTCTCGTGGGCAGTTTGGCGCTGGTGAAGATATCTATTCTGTTATTCTACGCCAGAATTTTCGTCACCCGCCCATTTCGCATCGCAACGTATACATTTGTCGCTGTCCTAGCATGCTGGGGTATAGCGATAGCCGTTGTAAGCAAACTTTCCTCGCTGCCTCCCTGCCCGAGTAACAATTAAACTGACATAGAATGTAGGCACAGCTACTCTGTGCGAGCCCAATCAACGCAGCCTGGAATCCTTACGCCGTAAACCCTCTGCGCTACAACTATAACGCTTTCTCCGAAGCGTTCGCAGGCATGAGTATGGTTTTTGACATAATCGTACTGTGCTTTCCGATTCCAGCGGTCTATCGTTTACAAATGTCCACCCGCCAAAAGCTCCAAGTCATGGGCATTTTTTGGCTGGGCTTGTTGTAAGTACCATTCTGGATCCGCGAGCCTTCGTCGATCTTCAGAACATTTTGTCAACTGACTTTGTCTCGCTCTACTTTGCATTTAGTTGCTGTATCTCCTCTGCTATCCGCTTCTACTATATCTATAGTGACATTCACCAATCTGTCGCTTCAAATAATGTGAACCGGTATGCAGTCGTCACCACCGCCTTTACCTGGGGTACCATCGAGCCCAATGCCAGTATTATATCTGCTTGTCTGCCGCTGTATGGCAACCTGTTTGGGGGTGACAAAAAGTTGGGCTTCTATATCCGGAGTTGGTTCAGCCGTCTTACCTCGGGAAGCGGCAGCACTGGGGATCAAAGTCGAGGATCAAAAGCTAAGGCGTATAATTCAGTGGATACAAGTGGCAGTTCTTCCCATCACCGACGCGAGTGGCAGAAGCTGGATATCCGGACACATCATACGTCGGATATTGAGCTTGGACACACAGTGACGGATGATCAGGTACCCTTGGCAAGGGAGCCACAGATGCAAATAATGATTAGTAGGAGCTTCATACAGGAAACAGCATAGTTCTCATTGAGACCAAAATAAGACCTGGAGAGGCGGCGGATGGGTGATGAAAAAGAGTCTTCTCCCTTTTGTCTCCCTACCTCTGCGATGTTCCATGAAGGCCTTTATTATAATAGATCATCATAATCATTCTGTACAAAGCACCACTCTACCTATATATATTACCTGCAGACACAGGAATTTTCTAGATATTACTAACCACCGCTTGACTGACCGGTTTGCTCTTCCCACATTTTCTGCCCTGTCAGTCAGCAGAATCAATCTCCTCGCTCTGAATTTATAAAAGATCCCTAATAAAAAGCCTCATTTACGACCTCACAGAAGCAGGCCATGAGATACATTGTTCGTAAATATTTATATTTCATAGCCGAAAGCAGAAATAACTGTTCCAGGCAGTCTTACGCTTCGAAACATGAATTTACCCGAGCAGCATACTGCCAGGTAGAATGGTCAAGCCACAATATAAGACGGGCGGGAAGTGTGGGAATGGCAACCCTCACTTTGTAGGCTAGCCTGGCCGGTGTGTCTATAGCAGCGCCCGACTAATTACCTCCGACTTTGAAAAATTACACAGAGAAATAACTGTAATACTACTACTGCCTGACCTAATTGTCTCTGCACTACATACATACTAAAACAAGCCATTGAGGGGGTTTTGAGCCATCTGCTCAGGATTCTACATGATTATAGTCCGTCTTTTGCCGCCGATAAGCAACCGATTTGGTCAAAGTGCGGGGTAGTAGTCTGATTAGCATACCTGGAGCTGTTCCCCCAAACCCACAACAAACCACACCCCCCACAGCTCAGTTAGACAGCAGGAAACACATATTAATCAGTCAACCAATCATTGACTCCTCTCCTAATATATCCTATATGAGGTATGGCTCTACCTGGACTGTTGAAGACTCTAGTACTACTATTATACTTGTACAGCACACTATCGACACCCATCATCACTGATTACTAGTATTTTACTACACTGCACGGTTAAAAGTCTCGGGACCCTTAGAAAACTTCTGAAATTCCAAGAACAATAAGTTTGTTGATGAAAAGGTATAGATGTTTAACTTTAAACAGAAATAGATTAGTATAATCTTTGTATCAGTGTAATAAAAGTAGAAATAAATTAAACATCTAAGGAGTAGTAAGTAAGTTTTCTTTTTTTATTAAGGATTTTAGTCGGATCTCCACACAATATATATATATTTTTGTGATTCTGTGCGATCCCAATTCCATGTAGTTTTACCCAACATTCTTTATTAATCGTTTGTTAGTTGGAATATCAATGTTTAAATAATGAATTTCAATATTAGTACTATCCAAAATCGCTACAACTTATGAAATTTGTTGAGATAATCATGTTTAAAATAGGTGAGTTTTAATGCGGTTCAGCGGGTGTCCCGAGACTTTTGGACACTTAAGGGTGATGGAAGAAAAGAGGCGTGCATCCAAACATGGAGTGAACAGACAAATTTATATTCAAGTAAGCAACCTCTGAGACGTTAGAGAAATGGTAGCAGATAATAGGACCAGATCATTATGTAATTGTGGACAACTAGCATTTACAATGTCTGCTATGAGATTGCCGTGATGGCACCGACGAACAGCCTACATGTGAATCTACATCCTTGAGTCAAAGACAGATGCCTATCACCATACACACAGGTCTAATCAAGAGCTCTTCACCTCTTTATCCATCAATTCTCCCATCACCTTTTTGACCGACTCCCGAGCCAGCATGGCTTCCTGCCACCGTTTGAAATGAGGAAACTCCTCAGGACGCCACGCCTGATCGCCTTCACGGCTACCCATAAAAAACGCAATCTGTGTATTCCACATGACAAACGCCAGGTCTGCGTACGTGCACTTGTCGCCCACGAGCCAATCGCGCTCCTTCAGAACGGAGTCCAACACGCCCGCTACACGCTTGACCTCGGCACCGTAGCGCACCTTGGCGCTTTCGGGGGATTCACCATAGACTTTCTCGTGGAAGATATTGAACCTATCAATAAAGACGTGAAATTGTGTTAGAGCTGTATACGAGAATTGGTGGGTGGACATTGCGAGGAACCCTTTAACTCACCATGCGGATTGTCCAAAGTAGGGACCTTGTCCTGAGGCCTGGAAGTAAGACCACTGGATCAATTGGTATTGTTCTGGGAATGTAGCGTAGGAAATTTTGCGGTCTTTGTCGTAGGTATCGATGAGGTACTGGACGATGGCACCGGATTCCCAGAGGGTAAGACCGGTGTTGGGGTCAATGATAGCTATCGATATTCATTAGGACCCGCGATAATATTAATGGTGGCGTGTTGGAAAGGCATGGGAGCTACATACCGGGCACTCGGCCGTTAGGGTTCACATCGGTGAAGGGCTTGGTTTTCAAACCGTCGAGTTCGACCCAAGAGGACTCGTAAGGAAGATTAAGCTCCTCGAGAATGATGAGGACTTTGGAGGGGTTGGGTACTTGGTCTAGATTTTGTTTTCCCGCTTTTTAGCATTGCTTTCCTTGGACGTAGTGTGCATTTCACTCTCAAAGGTAAATTAAGGAGACGGAAACATACTTCTCCAGAAAAGCTTGATGGGCTGCAAGGACGTCATGTTGGGACTGGTGCTTCTATCCTTTGATTTTTCTTGGGGGTGGGAGGGGCCAAGGGGGCTTGAAATTGCGAGTGAGGATATTAGCACGAGGGATTGCGAGGCCCAATGGCTATAATGTGTCAAAGGCCAGGCCGCACTTGTCTCCAACAAGACGAGTTTACCCAGGGGGGTAAGGACAGATTTACACTAATGCATCATAAGCGCTTTAGCTCGAAATAGAGCGGTTGCCTCGCCCCATTTCTTTGTTCTGAAAGCAAATATAGGAAGAATTAATTAGACCGTAAGTTAGGTGATGGGGCTATTGTGCGGATTGTGATATCCCTGAAGGTAGCCTCAAGATGAACAAAGGCTATTCGCGGGTCGGGGTTGCCCGAGGCGGGCTGTGCTAAGTCCCTGTAGGAATATCACGTATCTAACGCACAGATGGACCAGCGGACCGAGACCCTTGGCAGATCCGGACGTCCTATACTCAAAAGATATCATTATGGTATGATTGAAGATGCGGAGTAGGAGGGTATCTACTATCTAGTCTGTCTTACCTAGACTGATCTAGCATAGAGCTGCAACTAGCCCGATCAGGCAGGTGATTAGCATTAACCTGCGATCAACAAAGAAAATTACTTGTACTGTCATGAAATGTACGGCAATATAAAAACCACAATCCTCGGAAACGCTTTCTAACGTGGCATTGACGACAGCATGTGTTGATTTCGCTTCTCGGCTGGATCGCTTAATCGACAAAAGGAGGTGAGAATTTAATAACAGTACATGCGCCACTGTGAGGGGTTGAAGAAGTGTATCTCCCGCCTATCACAGCTCAGGACGACTTTGGCGGCTGAATCCGACTGGCAATATCCTGGATCACATACATCTGGCCGAACAAATCTGTCACATCAATGAAGGCCTTGATCATGCCAGAAGTTGCCAAGTCCAGTGTATTTGACAGCTTCTCGAAAGATAGCTCCATACAGGCTCTCTCAAATTCCGCGATCTCCATCAGCGCCTCCCGCTGGCGACGGGTGTTCAAGGCCCCGGGTTCTGCTTCCTGGGTCGTAAATTCGCTGAAATCGAGGCTGTTGAGATTCTGTTCCTCCGCATCTCGCTGTTGTGACCCGTAGTCGTTGTATTGTCGGCACATGGTGGCTAGATGCAATCCCAGGGCTCGCCCAAGGTATCCTTGTTGGGGGGAGACAAGGCAGAACGACGAATCCCGACTGATTAGACAACAAAAGAAGGCAAACGAATAAAGGCAACTGGTATCAGTGGCACCTGTGGTGCGGACCCAATCGAAATACATCTCATGTTGTTGTCCCTGGCGAGCGCCGTCTTTACCACTGCTGCTGCATCGCATTGCTGCGTTGTTGGCGTTATGGGCCAAGTGGGCCCGGAGAAATTGGCGCAATTCATGCAAAACTAGTTTGCGCGCGTTGACAGGATAGCGGCAGATGCACGGATGGTGTCGGATGTGACGGATATACTTTTGGATTACTGCCTGGACTTCGGGGATGGTTCCTTTCAGGGGTGCTGACGCAAGGATAGGGGTATTGTTGTCGGACTTGTTGGAACATTGAAAGCAGCCTTTGCCCGAATCATCCAAATCGATGGGAGGAAGTCCAGGGGAGCATTCTGTTTCGATTAATGCGTTCAAAGAGCTGATCTGATCCTGGTCGAGAAGGGCAACAACCGACTCCATATACTCGTCTACCTGATAGTTGAGTAACGAGATGACCATCATCTCCCAAAGAACAGTCCCCGAGAGAGGGAATCCAGAGACAATATTAACACACGTCCAAGCGCACGGGATGTAATCCAGGTATTTGTCTGGGGTTAGGCCCATGTTATCGCGGGGGAAAATGTCCAGACGATGCTCCCTCAGGCGACGGGTGTAAAAAGTAGCCTCAATCACAGCCAGCAATATCGTTTTCTCGGAGGGGTTTCGCAGGACAGGGATATGACTAAAGAAGAGAGACATCGCGTGAAGCTTCTTCTTGGGAAAATCAAATACTTGCAACAGCTCGGAGGTCCATGTGTGTTGTTGATCGAGGGGTATCTTCATAGCCGCCAGAATATATGTCTCGGCCAGAATTGGCAACTTATATGTCACTTTCTCAATCCATATATAGTCACCATCCGTCCAATCATCGGTATGGGAGGCCAGGTAGTCCCTTCCTTTGCGAATGGAATCTAACACTAGCTGCCGCACATCTTGCGGCCACGGTAGCTTCAACCCATGGGCGAGGAGGAGGATTCTGTATGCTGTTCTCTCCGCAGATCCCCTCCAGGAACCATTCTCCGACTGATCTCGTACTGCTCGAGAGAGAAGCTGACAGAGAGCAATTGGGACGCGTGATTCCGCCAGCTCTGATGGCAAGGAGGACAAAATCCCCTGACCTCGGACATGAAGGAAACGGACCAACGCATGGGCGAAAAGCATCTCGCTATACTCTGAGGCCAGGTTCCATTTGTCTCGCAGAATTCCGGAATTCCATTCCCTCAGCATAAATTCCATTGCTTTTCGGATCTGCGCTGAGTACCGTGCGCTGTCAGGTGCAAATAACAGGGCCAACAAGACATTCGCGTTGGCGCTGAAGCTGGAATTGCGCTCAAGCTCGTAGGTCTTGAAGTGGTTGATGGCCTCGAAACTGTGGATAAGTGGTGCTGGATCCATGTCGATCTCACAAAGCGCCTGTGTGAGAAGAGCCCGCGCAGTGTCATCGGCGTCAGGCACAAAGCCCGGTGCAAACCCCAGTGTTCCTTGCTGCTTGGTGAGCAGCTGGCTCAGGTATGTCGTAATAGTCTGTATATCTTCTCTAGCAAAGTCTGTGATCTGGAAGCCATTGTCCAGGAGCGTGGAGATAACCCATGAGGTTTCAAAAATCGGGGTTGGGAATCCGCTAGGAACCCCGCCACATGAACCATAGTGTCCCACGATTCGTCGAAGGTACTTTTCTGCAGCATCATCCCAGGTGGAAGAGTAGATCAGGTAAGCGGCAGTGGAGGCTGGAGAACCCAGCATACCCCCGTACTCGGTACAATGATGAGCGAGCTCGTCGAACTCAACGGCTCCGATCAACCCTTCGAGGGAATGTAACAAGGTCGTCTGACGCTTAGACGTAACCATGCCAGGCTGAAATTTAGCCAGCTTTTTCTCGCGGAGCTTCATTAAGTCTTGCTTTCCAGGAAACTGTAGTTCAATTCCGTGGCGAGAAAGTTGCTGTAGAAGGCTAGGTACTAAAACTTCTGACCCGACTTGAAGAGTGGAGGCGACATCCCACTGCTGCAGTGCCTGTTGTAAAGCAATTTCCGCGCGCGAGATGCGTGAATCGAGGAGTTTGGCTTCGTGTTGGTAATCTCCATTTTGGTCACTCAGCGGCGAGGAGCGGTGGGCTAATAGGGAAAGGAGACATGCCATAGTACAAAGTATAGTATCAAGGAGAGTAACCTGAGGTCCCCAGCATCCATCTTTGCCTTGCTGACGAAGTACATATTGGAATGACTCTGGAAAGAGCCAATGCTGGACACCATTCTGATCTTTCTTGGTGACCATCGATAACCATGCCGTGTCGTATAGGGAAATGCTGAACCCCCCAAAGCCAGTTTGGTTCTGGCACCCTTTCGCAATGCCTGTCACCAGATGCTGAGCTCTTGTTACCACGTCCTGTGGCTCTGAGCTCAGCTTTATTTTTTTCACAACAGTCATGCTTTCAAAGAGGAATAATATGTAGATAGGAGCTAATGTGGTCTCAAGTGTGGCTGATCTGGAATTATTAAAAGTGATACTATGAAATAATATACAGAATGCCGTGGCTGCTATATTCCCCGGGCCATTTAGATAATATATATCTTTGATGCATTCGTGTTCGGACATTTGCCAACCGGAAGCATCGCTCTGCATGGCTAGACGTATCAGCAATGACCCTCGAGGCTATTATAGCGACAGAAGTCACTTAGCATATTTCCGGTATTGACAGGTAGCCGTTGAAAATTCACGTATTAAGTCTAGTGTGAACTTTCCGAATTCCATAGACTTTGAGCCCATCACTTTATGGAAAGGTATAAACATCTTCTTTACTGAGTAAGAAATACTTATTTCTGATTTGCTATGGACTACTTCAAATACGGTGATTTGTAAGAAAACGAAAGCTAGTCAAGTGCTATGTTAAAAGTTATATTCCTTAGTGTCAAGTCTACGGGTCGCATATACAACGGGATAGACCAAGGTGTGTTAGATAACAGAGCATGACTAACCGTCATTGGAGGAATATTGAGTAATACTTAACTATAATCTCACATGCATGTATGCATGTATGCATATACGAGGGTCGAATACATGAGTAGTTGTTTTGAAATGCGGCGTTGTGGGTCCAAAATCCCACCGCGGAGCCTCGAAGATCAGCCTTTATTCTGATTATCGATTCAGCCATCAATGTTCCAGACCGGACAGTCCGACGAGCATCCCCAGCAAGAAACTCGCTTAACTATTAGTTGAAGCTAATTAATGCAGGAAGGGATGTTTATTACAACTAGAAAGATAGCACGTGTGACTTGTAAGAATCTCACCTAGAAGGTCCGCACCGATCGACAGGAATATCCGCCCCGCTTCGGGAAGAAAAAGGAAATAAAAATAACTGAGAAATATCAAAATCATAATACACGATTGCGAGTACCGAAAAGAAAGGAAAGCCACGGATATGGTGTGATTACAGACTTGTATTTGCAGGAGGTTTGAACAGAGTGTACGGTATTATCGGCCTGTTGTCCCCTCGTTGGCTGTTATTGAGCAAGAATGCTGGGTTATAAGTAGTCTAAGAACCACGGTTTTCAGCGGTACTGCCTAAGTATGACATTCAAAGTTTCTTATCCTATCTAGAGTGAGTTTCAATCAAACATCATCGTCATAACCATCAACAACAACAAAATCATCATCGCCGATAACATCATGGTGAACGATACCGAGTTATGGACATTGGTCACCACGGCACATCCTTTTCCAGTTGAATCGATTCATTGGACATACACTCTTCTCTTTCTGGCGGTGGGAGCATACTGTTGCTCCATCTTTTGGAGTCAGATTTTTGGCTACAAATTGCCTATATTCGGTACCAAATCCCCGTGGGAACCTGTGATTATCTCGAACTTCCGATTCTTTCACCACGCCGAACAAGTGCTTCAACAGGGATACAATGAGGTAGACACCATGAAACACACAGGCAAAGACTTCTATTTATTCACTAAGATGATTGTAGTGTAAGAATAGAATCTTTCAGTTCCGCCGCGCAGATACCGATATGCTGGTACTACCTCCCAAGTATGTGGATGAGATTCGCAGGTTGCCTAACCATATCGCAAGCCCAACCTTGGCTCATGTTCACAACTTAATGGGTTCACGCATCAATATGCATATCATTTTGCGCAACAATCTGCACTTTCGCACTCTACAAGTCAAACTGACACCAAATCTCAATTCCATAACGCTTCCTATGCAAGAAGAAGTCAACTACGCGATAGAGAAGGATTTTACTAAATCTGAAGGTCAGTGCCCCATTTCAGACCGTTTCATCTGAAGAATGACTTACTAAGTCAACAAAAGATGAATGGGTGACGATAAAGCCGTATCACACTATTCTTGACCTGGTGTCACGCGTCAGTGCCCGGATATTCCTTGGCCAGCCCCTGTGCCGCAATCCGCAATGGCTAGAGCTGTCGACACAATTCACCGAAAATGTCTTTGTCTCCCTGGTCTTCCTGCGTCTCTTCCCCATGTGGACTCATGGGCTTTTGACATGGTTCATGCCCTCGTCTTATCGAGGAAGCGCCTATATTCGTCAAGCTAAGAAGCTCCTCGTCCCGGAGATCAACCGTCGCCGCAAACTTGCGTCAGAGGGCATTGAGGAACCCGCCGAAAACAAGCACAACCTGCTCTCTTGGATGATGGAGATTGCCACACCGGAAGAGAGTGATCCAGCCTCTCTCGCCCATTTGGAAGTCGTACTTTCGCTGGCTGCTATTCATACGTCCCAAATGAACGCTGTACATGTGCTTTATGACCTGCTTGTTCACCCCGAGTACCTCGAGCCCATCCGAGACGAGATCCGGACCACTATACTGGAAAACGGCCCGTGGATGACTTGGGAAAAGTCTGCCTTCTCCAAGCTCCGCAAACTAGACTCCTTCATGCGCGAGTCCCAGCGGGTCAACCCCCCAACACTACTGTCAATGCATCGGGTGTTACTTCAGGAGGTGACCCTCTCGGATTCTACGCGTCTCCCCAAAGGCGCGCATATCAGTATGGCGGTCAACGCCATCCAGAATGACCCGGAAGTCACGACCAACCCCGAAACCTTCGATGGGTTCCGTTACTATAAATTGCGGCAACGTGAAGGCGAGGCCCATTTGCACCAGTTCTCGACTACACAGGACCGAATTTTGAACTTCGGGCACGGAGCTAATGCATGTCCGGGGCGATTCTTCGCCGCTCTGGAAATCAAAATCATTCTAGTCAGACTTTTGATGGACTTCGAGTGGAAGTTGAAGGAGCCAGGCAAACGCCCAGAGAACTTGCACGCGCATGAATTTATTTTCCCCAATCCCGACGCGGAGATTCTGATGCGGCGCCGTCCAGCGTCAGAATGTCTCCAGCTGTGAGGGCTGTATTAAATGTTGTTAGTGGTTTTTTATTTCTTGCCCAAAATTACGCCGGATAACTGTTTTACAATTACAAAGAGAGGCGTAGCTCAACACCCGCACAAGCCATTCTAGGCGCATTAAATTTAAGTTAGCCAACTACGAAGTAGTCAATACTCATTTTTCTCCCAAGAAACTAATGCAATGGTACTGCAGACGGAGATATATCCTAATCTGCGACTGTCAGCCCAATTTGGCCCCCAAGCATGAAAGTCGCATCTTACGATAGATCACCGCATCAATAATGGGTCCACTCAATCATCGCTGTGTTCTGCTCGTATTGAGGAGTCCTCTCGTCCGTATCTCGTGTTCTGAATGATCAGCTCCCAGGATGACTAGAACCCCACAAGTGAACTGGCACAGCGGGAGAGAACTGGGAAAGCATAAAGCTTACCCTCTTTTGAGCCTAGGTATACTTCATTGTGCTACCCATTTGACGCTGAATACCTTTGCACGTTCTAATGGCTCGGTTTTGGCAGTTCACTTGGTTGATCGTAGCCGTTACGGCGACAATCTCACAGTCTGCCACGAATGGTATTGTTCTCCAGAGTTCGAGTTCGATCAAGAGGAAACATGGAAAGGAAGCCGCGGTGGCTGACTAGGCATTAGGATTATCTTCCTGGGGCACCCTACCGTCACCGAATTTACCAAGATTCCTCAGCGACGGGGTAAGTCTTCTTGACTTTGGTGAGGCATCACCGTGAAAGAAAGAACCCTAATTGGCACTCAGAAGAAGGGAGGTGTTCCTTGGGGGAACGCTGATCCTGCCGGGCCTGCCCCAGATACTGGCGTTACCCGTCATTATAACTTCACAGTCACTCGGGCATATAAATCCCCCGATGGCTTCAATAAGAGCGTCATTCTTGTCAATGATCAGTTTCCGGGACCCCTGATCGAAGCCAACTGGGGAGATATGATTGAAGTGACAGTGACAAACAATATTGATCGTGAAGACGAAGGGTTAACCTTACATTGGCACGGACTGACCCAGCACAAAACTCCTTGGTACGATGGTGTGCCTGGAGTATCTCAATGTCCAATTGCCCCTGGCAGAGGCAGCTTCACGTACACTTTCCAGGCAGATCAATATGGTACTGGCTGGTATCATTCGCACTATAGCGCGCAATATAATGACGGCCTCTACGGGCCGATGGTAATCCATGGACCTATTCAGTCCGAGGCGGCTGAATATGACATTGATCTGGGGCCCGTCATGATATCTGACTACTACCACGTTCCCTACTATCAGATCCTGCAGGAAAGTTTCTCCAAACCACCCCAGGCCGTTCCCGTTGATAATAATCTTATCAATGGAAAAGGGATGTACGATTGCAACGCTACTGAAACACCCCTTGACTGCGATTCGGGCAGTGGTCTGGCACGATTCCAATTCCAGTCGGGGAAACGACATCGACTGCGCCTCATAAACACCGGCGCTCTTGCCAATCAGAAATTTAGCATTGATAATCATGATCTACTGGTCATTGCAAATGACTATGTCCCCGTGCAGCCCTATCGGACCAAGGTCGTCACTCTGGGGGTCGGCCAGCGCACAGACGTCATCGTCACAGGTACGGGCTCGTCGACTGATCTCGTCTGGATGCGTTCCGACATCGATATGGTCTGCCTGCAGAACACAGCTACCATCTCCACGGCACGCGCGATTATTGCTTATGAAGCCATCAACGAGACTAGTCCAGTCTTGATGCCCAACACAACCGGCCACTCCTGGATGAGCAACAATTGTCGCAATGACCCCCTTAACCGCACAATTCCCTACTACCCTCTTACACCTACCGACCCCACTACCACGCAAACCGTTACCATCAGTGTTGGCTACAATGATACCGGCTTTATCGTCATGTTCATGGATAATTCCTCCTTCCGCGTAGATTATAACGATCCCATCCTCCTCGCCACCAAACAAGGCAGCCTCACCTTCCCCACCGATCGCAATGTGTATAATTTCGGCACCAACACTACCGTCCGGCTCATCTTCAATAATACCTACGCTACAGCCCATCCGATGCACCTTCACGGCCACAACTTTTGGGTCCTAGCCGAAGGCCAAGGGATATGGGATGGCCATATCACTAATCCGTCTAATCCCCTCCGCCGCGACACCCATATCCTGCAGCCTGGAACGGCTGAGAATCCTGCGTACGCAGTGCTGGAATGGCGGCAGGATAACCCGGGCATCTGGCCCTTGCACTGCCATATGTCCATCCATTCGAGTGCCGGGATGGTTATTCTGGTCATGGTAAGTCCCTATTGATTGCTTTTCCTTCTCCTTTTATTGTACACTTCAATATCTCCTCCCACTTCTATTACTCAGCTAGTATGCAAATTGATCTTTAAGTGGCCGTTACTAACGAGAGCTTATGTGTTGGGGACTTTAGGAACAGCCGGATCTTATCCAGAAGGACATGGAAATTCCGACGGTCATGAAGAAGACATGCGATGACTGGGACAGGTTTAGTCATGTTGAGGTTGTGGATCAGATTGATTCCGGAGTGTAAGTAGTAGTAGAATTATTGTGGAGGGTATGGGCGGTATTACGGTATCCTATGTATCGTTGTGTCGGACAAAAGTCGGGTACGGAGTACTCTATCGACAGATCGGGAAGAACGGGTGTATAGGTCCCCAGTGTATTTTTACAACTCAGTTTTCCCAATAGTTATTACTAGTACTGGCCAGGTTCTCTAGCGGTAAGAACCAGAACTATGTACGATACCGAGGAAAACCCCCGGGATCTCAACCAATCAACATAACGAAGTAAATACGCGACCTGCATCAGCGAGATGACCCTGCACTGTCATGTCCGAGCCGCTTTTCATCAGCTACCAATCACAGCCGAATTTCCCTCTGCTTGAGGCTGTCAGAAGGAGAAAGAGGGTATGTGGGTCCCTCGGTCTTGGGACGCTGTTTGTTTAGAACGTAGGATGCCCTGTGCGCAACACGAGGTGGTTAAGGGACGGCGTTTCTTTGCCCAGTGCTTAGTGTGGGGGCCACATCTATGCCTTGGCCGACCATGATTGATCCGGGGCTCGAGGATGCCGTCGGCTGGTTCCAGTCAAACCCCGGACCTTATTTAGTGTCAGCCCACAATTAACTAACTATGCTTAGCCCCCATGCTAATTCAGAACGTAATCTCCGCCTCTAGCTAATCATGTTGTTGTGATTGTTACCGGATATGCCCGGTGTACTAAGACGCATGCATGGAGAAGACAGCCTGTCATGTGGCCGACACCGCCGCATCCCGTACTTACTTTCCTTCGCCGATTGTATGTGTCAATTTCTCAATTCTCAGTATCTCCCAGGCCAACGCTCCCCTCCTCCTTCACCCCTAACGCAATGGCTCTTCTCGTCATTGCAACCCTTCTGCTCATCCTCGTGAGTTCTCCTCTCCATCTTCCCGAGGATCATTTAAGTCAATCTAACTAGAGAATCAGTACCCCACCACCCTCGTCATTTACAATCTCTTTCTCCATCCTCTCGCCCGCTACCCCGGCCCTACCCTTTGGCGTGCATTCCGCTTCCCCTTTCTCCTCGCCAACATCGGCGGCCAACTCCCCCATCGTATCCACGATTTCCACGCCCAATATGGCGACATTGTCCGCGTCGCACCAGACGAACTCTCCTTCGTGGATCCCCGCGCCTGGCGGGACATCTACACTTCAGATCGTGAATTCGTCCGCCCGCACCAATACAAAGACCAACCTCCCGGCAAAACAGCAGCAAATCTAATTGCATGCTCGGAGGCTGAGCATGCCCGCCTTCGCAAAAACCTGGCACCAGGCTTTTCGGAGAAATTCGCTGCACTTCAAGAACCAATTCTTCAGAAATACATCGATACACTTTTTGCGAAGCTGGACGCCAAGATCGCGAGCAGTGAGGGTGACAGCGCCAGCAAAGGCGCGGACGTGGACCTGGTGGAATGGATCAATTACCTCGCCTTCGACGTGATAGGTGATCTCACCTGGGGTAGCTCGTTCGGGTGCCTCGAGGGTCTGCGGTACCATCCCTGGGTGCAGACCGTTAGCCAATTCAAAGCTGCTATTGTTGTTGGGATGATAAAATTCTATCCTCCGCTTTATCGTTTACTCATGGCCATTACCCCAGCAGATGCCCTGAAGCCAGTTATGGAGATGTGGAAGGTCACAGATGAAAAGGTGGCGGCGCGGGTGGCTACTACTACTCCTGATACTACCACGCGGCCAGACTTCGTAGGTATAATGATGGCATCCGGTGCCATGACGCAGGAGGAGATGGAGGTGAACTCGATGCTGATCATCGCAGCGGGGAGTGAATCAATTACCACCGTTATTACGGGCGTCATCAATTATCTTCTGCGGGAGCAGGACCAAAGGTCGCTCCGTGAGTTGGTAGACCTGCTCCACAACACCTTCCCCACGGAAGAGGAAATCACAGCCACCCGGCTGAAATCTGTCTCATACCTCGACGCAGTTTTGATGGAGGGCATGCGCCTATGCCCAACTATTCCAGATGCCATGCGACGACAGGTCCCACGCAATGGAGCCAGGGTAGCCGGGCAATTTGTACCAGAAGGGATGATTGTCTCAATTCCTCCGCTGGCTAGTTACCGTGCGCCCGGCAATTTCAGTAGCCCGACGGAGTTTGTCCCAAGACGGTGGCTGGGTGAGGATAAGCAGTTTGATCTGAGTAAGCAGAAGAAAGCTTTCAATCCGTTTTCGTTGGGGTCGCATAATTGTCCTGGACAGAATTTGGCTTGGATAGAGCTGCGGCTTATTCTGGCACGCTTGTTGTGGAGGTATGATCTAGCTGCGGTGGATGTGCCGGCTTGGGAGAAGCAAGGGATTTGGTGGTTTTGGGATAAAAAACCTCTTGTCGTGAGGATTAAAAGGACTCATTAGGGGTGTGAATGGCTAAAATGACTCCTGGCAGCATCCTTTGATAGTATTAGAATCCATTTAAACAACCTGGATTAGTAAAGAAAATAAACTGCCATCAACATGGGTCATCCTTGATTAAAGTACCAGTAGTCACATGGTACCCTATCTTGCCGCATTAATGTAGGTATCCCTGTTAATTTTTCAGTTAATTGTTCTGCCACTTGTGCTTCAACTAATAGCCTGGTGCTGCAGCCAATCTGCATACCACAATAGTGAACTCCTGAGAATGCTGCGCCGTATGTGATGCTGTCTGCCCTGGCCTAACAGTCTAGTAAGTTATGATAATACAACTTCACATACAATCAAGTCAAGCTATAGAGAAGCATTACTCTGTTCCTCACATTCCTCGACAGAGACCACATGTATCTATGGTTTGCATATATGCAACCCTGGCATTTATTGAACGTGATTCAGCCCCGATTTCATCACCAATTGAGACACAATATCTCTCATCCCAACCAGGTAGAGCACCTAAAAAAGCCCATATCACCCTCTCATGCGGTCATAGCTGCAGGCTATAACTTAGTAATAATACTTGAATCATGAAATCTAAGACTGCTACTCGTTTCAAGCCGAATACAGTAAGTGCTACCGCCACCACCACCACCACCACCATCACGAGTGCCATTCCCACTATTATGTGGAAGGCCGAAAGCACAAGGGAAAACTGGAACAATTCCCCTTTCGAGCATTTCGCGATATATTGATGACACCAGGAGAGCGGAGTGCGCGCCATGAGTGTCCGGTGTTTCGTTACTCCACACGCGGCTATGCCGAGGAGATATGAGAGACCACTGACGTATAAGAACACGGTGCCTAGGCCTGCCATGCGGCAGGTGATGGGGTCTGTCTGGTAGTTGAATTGGGGTATAGTGGAGGATTAGTGCGGATGCTGTCATTAGGTTATTTCGTAGAGATGATGGAATATATAGGGACTTTTTTGCGAAGTGGGGGTGCGTAGCCCTTTCTGATGATTGGCTTTAGCGAATTTTGATTTATATTGTCTTGTTTTTTATATATGATATGTAGTATTCCGTAATTCGTGTTACTGTAGTAGGATCGATTTCTCCTTTCGATCATGCAACTAAAGTTATGACGAATACCACGTTGATAACCCAACAAAGGAGCCCTAATCATGATAAGATCAACGGTAACAATAGAGCCTCATTTCATGATGTACCTGGCAAGTAATGACAACGTCATCACGGGTCCATGGTAACTGTTCCCACCGACGCATTCACTGGTCATTTGCAGTTTTCTCTAGCCAATAGAAGTCCTTGAATCTCCGAGATGTTGGAAGAATCGCCAAAATCCACTTTGCTCTCTTGGTCAATAGCGACGCGTCATTTCATTGTATGGGACGCGACTAGAAGATGTGACGAGGGATGTAGTAATCTGAAAGGGAAAGGGGTGGTGAGGTGGATTCTATGTCAAGTGTTCATCATCTGAATATAGTGATTCGTTCCAAGTACTCTATTTTTACAGCTGATATATAATTGAATCACTAGCTTTCGCAGCATTCGCCTTCTTTGGCTTTTGGTTAGGGACTTGCCTGGCAACATGCGCAGTACATCAATACAGCCCTGGGATATGATACGGACTTACATGCTTTTGGTCATTTACACAAGGAGACGACCTCTATTGATTTGTAAATAAGGATTTGCCTATTAGTACTATCAAGAGTCAAATTGCCAGATTCCTGATACCATGCTGAATGTCATCATCGCTATGGTGAGTAGATCCTTTACCTAAACAGCCGAGAAGAGGAGGTAAATAAATATATAGTAATAGATAAAGACCAAAGGAAAAGGGGATTGTCTAAAGGTATGAAAAAGATAGGAGGGAAGAGAAAATGTACCTGATTTCCGCTGCTAGTACAAAAGCAAGGTTAACCCAATTTGATCTTTTGAGTCCCCTCTGATAGCAGTAACAAGCAAGTCGAGGATGCACACGAGTGGGTAAGAGCCCGCAAGGATAACTGTTGGGGGAAGTGCAAAGTTGGCGCTGATTGGCTAGCTCGTCAATCACCACCCGCCCAGACGCGTATTGTGCCCTAAATATCAGAACATAATATGTGAACTCTGAGTAAATAAAACAACGGTCAATGGAATGAAAGGGGCATTTGAACTTCAACATCCTGTGTATTGTCCCCTTGTCACTCCTTATCATTGCTCATAAGAATGACTGCTGTCACGATGCCAGCAAAGCCACACTAAGACTCATAGTTCTGTCTAGCATGCGGCTAAGCAGGGATGTACGGTAGGAACCGGCGACGTTCAAGCGTCGCAGGAATCGCGCCGGTGAAGCACTCTCCCGAGCCCGATCATGAGCCCGAAATGGCCTCCTGGGAGCCTTCGATTTGACTCATTCTTCTGCTATATAAGTATAAGTTTTCTTCTGCTCTTATTTCACAACCAACAGTTACAATCTCCAACATGGCTGCCTCCTCCACAGGTGATCCCAGGATAACTACCAAGTCAGAACAAGATGCCAACAGTTCTGCGCAAGGCCAGCATGCGGTCAATACTGAAGTCAACAATGAACTGCCAGAAACGAACCCAAACGCGATGCACGGCTTCAAGCTCTTTGCCATTTTTGTAGGCATATGCTTCGGCGCGTTTCTGATGTCATTGGATATTTTCATCATCGCAACTGTACTACTCCGACTTCCTTCTTAATCTATGTTGTAGTTGACCACGGCTAGGCCATTCCATCCATTACAGCCGACTTCCATGATACCGCCCAACTGGCCTGGTATCCAGCTGCGTACTCGCTCACAACATGCGCATTGACTCCGCTAGCAGGGAAGTTGAGCTCAATGTTTCCGCTCCGTTGGATCTATGTCTCCTTCTTCTCTATATTCCTGATTGGCAGCCTCGTGTGCGGCTTTGCGCCAAACAGCAACACCTTCATCGCGGGTCGCGCAATAGCTGGTATCGGGGCATCCGGTGTCGCAAGTGGCGGCTTCGTTATCGTCCTGACCGTATCCCCGGAAAAGTCAAAGCCAGTGCTGCTCGGAATATGCAGCAGTTGCTTCGCTATGGGCCTTATCCTAGCACCCGTCATTGGTGGAGCATTTACGCAGTACGCTACTTGGCGGTGGTGTTTCTGGGTTAATCTTCCTCCTGGTGCTCTGACATTGCTGGCGATGCTGTGCTTTTTCAGGCCTCCGTCAATACAGCGCGACCGGACTGCTGTCCAACGGATCATCGACTTGGATCTCATCGGTTGTGCTATTTTCATTCCGGGTATCTTCATGCTTCTTCTTGCTATGATGTGGGGCGGTACAAAAGAGTCGTGGGACTCAGCGACGACCATTGGCCTATTTGTAGGATCTGCCGTCATGCTTATCATCTTTGTTTCCTGGGAAGGCTATAAGGGTGAGGACGCAATGATACCGGGTAATATGGTTGCCAGACGGACAATCACCTTTAGTGTCGTGTTCTCATTCTTCCATTTCGGTTCTGTCGGTATTATGAATTACTATCTTCCTGAGTGGTTCCAGGTAGTGGAAGGCGCCAGTCCGTTGGAAAGTGGCACGCGAACTCTGGCTTCGGTGCTCGCTCAAATAGTCGGGACCCTGTCTGCTGGATTTCTAGGTATGATGCCCCACGGTAGCTGCTATCTTGAAATGGCTGTTAAGCACAAGCTAACACTAAGCATTGACAGCACGCAAAATACACTACTACAACCCTTGGCTGTACATCGGCCCCCTCTTCATGTGCACTGCAGCAGCACTATACACACACTTCTCGACCTTTCACACCCCATCCAGCCAATGGATCGGCTTCCAAGTCATTCAGGGTCTTGGTGTCGGCATGGCACAGCAAATGCCATCGCTCATCATCCAGCATTCCGTGCGCGACAAACCAGAGCTCATGCCGGCCGCGATATCTCTGAACCTATTCTTCCAGTACTTAGGGGCCACTATCACGCAATCCCTTGGCGGTATCGTATTTCGCTCAATCCTACTCCCGGAATTGGCAGACCATGCTGGTTTGAATGCTGATCAAATCGCGCTGGTGTCCGCTGCTGGAATGGCGGATGTACGTGATACCGTTGACAAATATTTTCCCAATCTGTTAGATCTCGTTCTGGAAGCTTATAATAAGGCTATTACTTCAACTTTTGTGAGTGATTCTCTCTATGCAGCCACTGTGATGAAAGTGGAACTAATAAAATGGGCATGTCAGTATGTTGCTGTTGGGACTACAGCTGCGGCGTTCTGCTTGGCTTTTGGGGTGAAGTGGGAGAGAATTACTGAGAAAGCGACAAATGGTCCGGAAGAGGCCGTAGCTGAAGAGAAGTAGATCTTTCTACTTTGTATGTGTGGAGGGTGTATAGAGAAGACGTGTATATTTCGAAGATTATAAATTATGCTCATAGAAGTCTCATCTCATCTCTCACTTGTGTTTGTCCACAGGTATTACTGACTACTACTCCATCAAGGATGAAGATCACACAGAACATGAAGCTGCTGCTCAATGCGTGCCGCAGTTCGGGATGCCGTATTTCTTGACATAGGAAGTTGTTGAAGGCTAATCTTGCCTGAGACAACGAATTTCCAGACGACAACTAGATATATTTCCCAATATGCTAGAGCCCACTGTTAAGAGACCATAAGGCTACGCAAATGCATTAGTTACTTGAATCTTGCTACGAGGCTGCCTAACTCCCCGTTACGTGTGCCTGTCTTCCGGCGGAACATACTGGATCATCGCGACCAGAAGCGGGGCATGATTGAGCAATCACCGATCAGGAGAATCCATTGAACTAGATAAACGATCGGACATCACCCGAAGGATTGTCGTTGTGTACAAACCCACAGTGGATCGGAGTATTACGTGAGGTTTCTGACTGGTCGATCGGGCGAATTGTTGGGAGCTAATTTAGTAGCTTGTTGGGCGTGGGATGGATTGTCTAGGCAGTAACGTTCGGCGGCTACGTACGATGAATGGACCAAATGACTTTCAGAATGTGATCAGCCTACGTATAATGGACTTGATAATATAAGTCGATGGTAGTGGTATCATTGCTCATGGGCATTTTATTTGTGTTGGAAACAAGTGGATTGCTTTCGAGCTATCTGCCACTACTACCAAGTCAATTGTCCGAGCTGATATGCTAGACTGCCTTTAGGGCTATCGTGAGAGCAACAATAGATTTTCTTGAAAGCTAAGAGCCGAAAATCCCATAACGATATTTCAAGCACTGTGGATGCCACGTCAAAGAAGACTACTATGAGCCTTATAAATTGATAATGATTTAGATTACTGCGTGTCTTTCTTTGTCTATAGAGCTAGCCCAAATAAACTCAAATGTACGGATTGCGTTAGCGTGTGTGGAGTCTAATTAAAGGTAATTTCCCACGAAAAGGCCAGTGACGGTGAGTGGGTGGACCGGAAGGCTCGGGCCTTTGCGCCATTAGAATGTCGGCTGGACCTGTACTTTTACTTGATTACGGACGTCACAAAGGTACTTGGAAATAACTTTTCATTAAATGGTCAATTGTCGATGGTGGAGGAATTTGAGCTTAGGCAGTGATATTTAAACTTCTGTTCGACAACACTTGAACTTGAATCGATGGCAATATCATCTGTACTTCACACTTGACTCAGGACGAGCCAATGGGCAGTCACAGACACGGACATGAACATGGATGTGGACATGCCGTCGAGGATGTCTTGAAATCGAGAGTACGTGAATTTGAAATCTGTAAGTTCAGCCACATTCTCTGGTTCTGGCTTGCATAAACCTACCCGTCCCCGATTAAGGCCAATGATGGAGTGGTCGGGAAAGGGGGCGGTTGGGCCTTTTGTATGCCGCGACTGCTGCGTCAGGTGTCAACACTGTTGAGCTGAGTGCTATGCCTGTAGAAGGGAATCAGGCTCAGAATGTTACTCTGACCTAGGCGGATACTAAGCGGCAGCAGCAGGATCAGGAGTCGCAGAATCATTGAATTCTGCTAGGCAGGTCGTTTAAAGACGTTAGTTACTTGGGGAATTGGTACGGAGTGGCTGCTAGGAGGTGGAGCTATAGAGTATTGAGGTACAGATAGGGTGTTATGTCACTGCATGCTCGTGATAGTGTGTTTGCTGGTCAGGCAATGGTTGGTAATCAATCGCATGTTGTAATTCAGAACTTATGGTGTCTCTTCAATCATTCTTTCTAAAGCTGTTAGGTCAAGATGTTTAGCGAACATTGGGCTAGTACCTAGAGCAGGGGAACGAACTGAGGCAGGCAGCAACCATGCCCTGAGATTATTTCACTAGTCCACCTTAACATTATGACAAAGATACCTCACTAGTTCCCCCAACCTCTCAATCTTTTGCCACCCGATGGCATTCTCTAAATTGTTGGCTGTCTCCGCGAAAAGGCCATACACAGGAAGCTGTTTTGGGTCTTCAGGCTCCTCAGATCCATGTGATCTGACAATATTATTCAAGGCAGTCTGCATATTCTTATGCATCCGAAGCCTTTCTGCCCGCTGCTTGAAAAGCTCGCTCTCATTCGAGCCATCCTGTGAAGAATTTTGACATCCTCGACACTGAGCCATGTAACGAGCACAGTGGAGGATCATGGATATTGACCCTGCAGCCAGGGCAGTGGCGATTGAGGACCCGTCGTGATATACGATTGGTTTAACAGAGTGTGGCCGTCGTGCTTCTGGGACCTGGATTCCGGGAAGGAAATAGGATATGGTTTCTCTGTTCTCAGTGATGGGGTCTCGCTGCGCTTGCGAGTTGCAGGAGCCGATGCGAAAGATATTATGCTCCGCTGCGCAGAAGGGTAAATTGTCCTTTCCGAGGAGTTCTATGTCGTCGGCCGCAGAGCATACCATGAGAATGTTGTTATCCACCGCTTCTTTGATAGCTTTTTCTAGTCGCTCGATTCCGGGCTCATCAATTGACTTCTTCCCCAAAGACCCGGGATCCGAGCTGCGAAATTCCGAAATCCGTTTTCGCAACGTCCACGACATGGAAATCACGTCGACGTTGTGCTTGATGGCAACCTCGACAGCGTGGGCAGCACTGTCGGGGTGGATGGTCCGCGAAGGTGAGCTTGGATTTGCGTAGGAGACACCGTCATGAATTCGAATGACTAGGAGACGTATCCACGGGTTTATTCGGAGAATCATATTGGCCATTGCTGTTCCATGCCCGTTGGTCGACGTATGCCATGGATGTTCGGTCTGCCCAATGGGTGGATAGCAGCTAAACCCTCGCACTTCTGTGTGTGGATATACGTCAAAATCGCTGTAATCTAGGCCATCGTCTATAAGGGCGACCTGAAGAATTCACGTGGTTAGGACAGGCTAAATCTCGTTATGAGCGAACGAGGAATCCTACTCTGACTCGTGGTAAATCCACTATATCTTTTGAAACTTCGTGCACCTTGAGCATCGCATCGCGGAACTCTTCCATACGAGTTACCCAATGATATTGCTTCTCGTTTGTAGAATCGCCATGCCCGGGGGAATAATGGGTCTCTTCATCGGCTCGTGTGTCTATGATTCGCTCCTGGTGGGATGTCTGTTTCACCTGTACTCTGCCTTCGGTTGACTTTTCCACCTTTTTTATAAATGTATTTATCATGATGTCTGTTCGCTCTTTACTTTCAAGTCCCTAGGATGAGCAGATGTGCAAGTTAGCTTCATTCCCATTTCGTAAGCAAAAGGTGACGTGTATCATCAAACAACGTAGTACCTGATATGCATGCAGATGGATGGAAGTCAGCTCTTTAAATTGTGGGTGAAGATCTAGGATTGTGTCCGCCCACCCACGAAGAACAGTCTGACCACCACTCCAGTGCAAATGAAGCGTATTTATTTCAGGCGCCGCATCGCGAATTAATTCTACGCTTATGTCTGGCTTTCGCCAATCCCTGCGGTATAGAATGAGCTCCGGAATGGTTCATATTGAGTCAAATGAGGGAGAGGACTACCAGGTTTCTATTTTCAAGGCCCTGGTTCGAGTACCGAAAGGATCAGACTCGCCACGGTAGTTCCATCCCCTAATAGCCCTTTCAATAGCTGTATCGGAATGGGCCAATTCGTGGCCGTGGTCTTCAACTTGGAGTCGTAGAATTCTCTGAACACCTGTAGCAGCCAGCTCATCGAAGACAGAAACTAGGGCGTTGCGTCCCACTGTGGCCTTCCGCTGACTACCTACACCGTTGGGCCCTCTCTTGTCGTTAGTTGTATTGGCTTTGCTAGCAGGCTCTGGCAGCCAGTATGGCTCCGACAGTTGGGGGATTTTCACGTAGGAGAGTGTATCTTCGAACCCTCCTGCGCGGGCTAGCTTCTGAATCAATTGGACAATCTGCGCTGGACCTCGCCCTCTCAAGTGCGTGGCATCAAAGTATAAATTCTTGTCTACGTAAAACGAATAGTGGCATCAGCTTCTCACACTAGTCAGGCCGACATACGTCGAGGGTGCGTTCGTACCTGAGGCGACATTGCCATAAAGCAAATTCTTGGCATCCACGTCGGACATGTTGCGTAGGTAGCACAGCCTAAGGTACTGCCGTATTTCATCGGCAGCCTCTTTTCTACGCGAGCTTTCGACTCTGCTTTGCTGTATTTGATAGGGTGTCGGTTCTTTAGGTGCACCTGCCCGCGACCTCATCGATGGGGACCGTAGCATAGACTCCGATGCCGCAGGTTTGCGGTTATCCTGGGTGAATAGTAGAACTTTGGGGTTGCGAACCCAGCTTGGAGGAAGCGACAGCGAGGTCGCTTGGAAGCGGTCTGGCGGGGCTAGGCCGGTCCAAGAGATTGTCAGTGGGTCAGAATGTGAAGGCATACAAAGCGGCTGGGACGGTTCATTCTGCGTCTCTCTTCTTGCCTCTTCACCCGGCTTTTCTTTCCCCTCCACGCGCTTTCCCTCGATTCCGAGCCTTACAAGATTTGGCTTCGACCCGGAAACCCCGTTCACTGCTGCAGGCTTCGAAGACGATGAAGTATGTTGCTTCTCAGCAAACCAGGATTCACTGTCAAGGTAAGTCAGGTAAGGAGATTTGCCTTCCTTGTTAAATAGACACTCGACCTGCATCCGGCTGGAGATGCTCTTGTCAATTAGAGCGACAACAACCGGCCGGTATACCTTCGCATCTAAGTAGTAACATAGGTTATAGTTCATCGCATAATGTAAAGGGGCATTCCCATCGTTATCTCTGGCCGCGAGGGCCGATTGTGGGGCCAATTCAACCCAATCATGAACAATCTGCGTGAGCACTCTCAGGTCTGCTTTCATTCCCTCCTTGTTGCTGACAGAGCTGATTTTATTCACACTCCTCTGCTTCAAATAAAGTACTCGGAATGCTTCATGTAGAGGATTTCGGCGTTTACTCCCATGGGGAATTTGAAGGAGCTGCAGGAGGGGATCCTTGAGATTGGTCAAGATAGTGTAAAGAAACGAGAGGTTGACGTGCTTGAGGGCACTAATGAGAATTGGAAAGGGGGTCTCATCTTCCCCAATTTCATTGGCTTGGGCGTGCTCTGAAATTGCATCGTCATCTAGCAGGTGGACTTGAAGAAGACAATCCAGGATGCAGACGCGGGTAGATTCAGGGAGATCGTAGAACCCATGGGCAAGCTTATCTTTGGATAGGTGATGGAGCAGAGTTGGCACCTCCCTATTATCATGATCTCGAAACTCACTCACCGCTGACTCCATTGATTCCCAGGTCTCCCCATTCCTCAAATGCCCCGTCTTAATCTTTCACTCGTTCATCCCAAGACAGTCTTTCCCACCCATATTCATTGTCACTGTGCGTGAAATCATCGGATGCAGTGTCGAGCTCACAATCGTCCATAGCTGGGGAGCTGGGAGAGGTACTGCGTGATGTTGAGGAAGGTAGCGATAACAATACCACCATGGGAAGACGATATACACCCTCACGTAGGGGTTATCTGTGCGGAAAGGAGCACCATACAGGACATAGTTGTAACTAGAATAGAGGGATGCTTGACTGCATGAGGTCCCAAGACCAAGGGCTACCGCATTATCTTTTCGTCAAACCTTCTCCTACATAGACTTCCCTACATTGTTGCATTCTGTGTACATGGCGCAACCCCACAGCTGATCTAGATTGGTGGCCCCCAGATTGCCCGCGTCGACTACGATCCCTTTTTCCAGCTGATCGAACGCCGGCTCAGAGGGACGGAACCAGATAGAATCATCCTTGTCCCGAGACGAGAACAACTGTCCAACCCAGGTCTTGAAGTCCGGAGTAACACGAATGTAGGGAACACAAGCAAAGTCGTCTTCCGTTCCCCGCCTCAAAAGAATACACGCTGTCAGCCGTGTAGGGATCCCGTCCTTCTGTGATCTGTTCTCAGACAGCGAGAAATGGGCCTCATGCTGACTGCCGTAGATATCTGCAGGTCGGTCACCAGTGACGACGGTGTGATGGACTGTAACCTTCTCCACCTCGTCCCATTTGGAGACGCTGAATGAAGTGTTCACGGCTCCTGCCAGCGGCTGGGACCCAAGCTTTAGCTCAAGGCCAGTCATGGAATGCTCGGATTGCTCGGTGCGTGCAATCTTGAACACGCGATCCGGCCGAATGCCAGTAACAGCCAGTTCATTTGACTGACCCGGCACCGGCTCGAACCTGAAGCGAATGTCGGCTTGCTTGAGTCGGCGTCCACGGTAGGAGTGAAACTGGAACTCATACACCAACAGCGAGGCCCAGTCGCACGAGTCCTGGCCTGCCCCTCCCCATCGGCCATGGATCATAGCCTTTGCCTCACAGCTGACCTGGTAGGCAGACTTGGATCGTCGCCCCATTTCAAAGTTGGACACCACGGCTCTCTGTAGCTGTCCTGGTTTGTTGCGAGTGCGGAAGTCTATTCCCACCCGTCCGTGTTACGGAAATGTCAGTCACATCACGGAGCGGAATTAGAATAGAACAATCAAATGAATAATTTGAGAGCCGAGTTTTTTTCAGTTGTCAGAGATTGGCTTACCCCCAGCAGGTCCTTGGTATGTCAACTCCAGGGAAAAGGACCGTGGGTCTGTTGACCCGCCCTCCTCATCTTCGGTCAGATCGCTCAGCCAGAGCTCGTCATCAAGGCTTGCAAGGTTCATTGTGTTTGGATGCTCTTCCGGGTGGGGCGTACTAAAACTATAGGTTAATCCAATGTCGAATTGCTGGAAGCCCCGGAGGGAGGGCACGTAGGGGAAATCCTTCTTATGACTACCGTACGCCTACCCTGGACCCCTGGCCTGTTCCAGGGCAACACAAGTGGGCATTCTATCATTCCGAGTTAGTGATGCCCTCGAGCATCAAGTGCCTAGGATATATGATGTGCTCATCAGGCCGAAATATCCCTCTTTACAGGCATCGCCGCCAATCGAAAACCATGCGTCCGTGGCTATCCCTCCCGTATTCCATGGTGTGTAACTGCTATTAGGCTGATGTGTAAGTATTTAAGTCACTGAGGCTGACTGGGTGACACCTCAGCTTTTTTTTCCCTTCTCTGGTAATCCTAGGCTAATTTGATTCGGGAAGGAAGGGCTACACGGACGTGACTTCCTGTCAGTGACAGATTGTTGCCCATCAGTGGCTGACAGGAAGATATACACTTTATTGCATGGTTTCTTTCTTCTCAAATTGAGAGAACAATCATCGTCGCGCCCATATCATAATGACGGTGAAATCATCGACATGCCCCGTTTCCCACAAGACAGGGCAAATCCTCCACGGCGTCGAACTTGCGCGGCAGTTGACACCTGACACTGGCAGTGAGGATGCCACTCCATCGGAATATGTCGAGTAAGAGGAATGCCGTTCATCGTTGTATCGTATACGTACTCAGATGCGAACTTGACAGTATCGTGCATGTAATGGGAATCTCGCGGCCGGAACGTATGAGCTTGGAAGCTGTCTTCGGCGATCACATCACCACTCATGGCAAACGACGAGAATTCCTGTATCGAAGCAATGCGAGCCATTTTCTCTTGGGTGATCTGACTAGCTACTACGTTGAGAAAGAGGCGCTGCAACTGTTAGCTGGGTTGCTTCAATTCCGCTCGTCCGGTGAAGGGGTAGGCATCCTAATTTATAGACTTATACGCATTCACTTCTCGCAGAAGGACAGTTGACGTTAACATTACCCAAACAAGGCCGGTTACCGTCGATCCATCATATTTATCGCTTATGAGCTAGGGGCCTTGGTTGTTGAAAAGGTTGGGTCTCCTCCGAAGAACACCTCGCACACGCCTCGCAAGCAATTGTAGCAGGATATGTCTCTAATACAAAGAATCAACAGGCCATTTCGCTCGCTGGCTTCCGTCAGACAAACTGGACCAGCCTATTCACTAATACTGTGAGGTTTGTGAGTTGAACATGGACATTTTATAGGGATTGCGAGCACCATGTCATTTTCTGACATGAAGACAGATTTTTGCAGGCTGTTTCCACCGCAGGATGGATGGTACCTCATTTGATATCCGACTGTGGAGGTTCTTAGAGACACACAAAGCAGAAGAATGGGGTCGCTTCATCACCCCAACTTCAATCAGGGCCTTGGCAGATACCGCCATGGAAATAACTGGTCTGTTTATCAGCTCCCGCATTACTTTGCGCACTCGGACCATTAGCATCTATGCCAATCCTGAGACACCAGGAAGGATCAATTCAGTAAGTGGTCAATCAGCAACATGGATAAGGCTTTGTGAGGGAGATTGATTCTGACGAGAGAATGGGATGTAGGTGTTTGATGAATATACCGTGGCTCTAGGTATAAGTACTGAACTGGCTCTCCCCGAGGAATCCACCAGCGAAGCGAATGGCCCGCTCATCTCTAGGCTGTCTGACCTGGTTTTTAGTGGATCATGCAGCTGGAACAGATCATCATCGCGCATGATTGTTGAACAATCACTACTATCAATGGCTCTTCCGCATCGTCAATTCCTGTCAAAACGCGTCATAGACTCACATTCAATCCTCACAAGCTCAGAGTACAACTTGTGGAAGACGTCCCGGGGCCCCCAGATCTTGTATATTCACGGTGAAGACCAACGGTTGATTACCGAGGCAGCTGAACAGGTCATTCTGGCATGGAAATGGGAGCAATATGATAAGAAGCTTGATGACGCCGAAGTACACTCTTTCTCTTTTTCAGACCATGATCAAGCGCGTAACTCAATGGAGGCTATGGTTAGTGCTCTTATGGTCCAAACATTTTCGCGCGTGGCCGAAGGTGCGCCCAACTTCAGTACCTGGCTCGTGGAGAATCAGCAGCACGGGTGGTCCGGCAAGGATTTGGAGAATATTTTGTGCCTAACACTGCAAGACCACATAGGACCTACAATGTTGTGTTTTCAAAATGCTGATGACTGTAATACCTCCGAAAGTCGAGAGGCATACTGGAAGGCCATCGCCAAAGCTTATGGCTTTACAGAAATGCGCGCCAGACTTCTTATAACATCAAGGAGACCCGACGCCTTGAGGAAAGAGCTCCAGCTCTGTGCTCCTAACATGACCCTACACTGCTACAGGGTGGGATTGAACAAGCCGGAATACTGGGAACCAAAAGACTATCGCAGCAAAATACTTATCTCGCGTTTCTGTCCCTGTGGGTACGGAAAGTCTTACATGCAAGCCCGTTCAAGAGAACTCGCATCGATGGACTATGGTGCTCTCTGTGCCATCATGAATATTATCTCAACTTATACCGGATGGCCAGAAACAACATCATCACAGACACACGCGCGATTTGATCGGTTCTTCAGACGTCTATCTGTACGCAGCACGCCTGCGAATGTCCTCGATGAAATTCTACGGACTATCCCAGATAGCGCTAGGCTTCGTTCTATACTCACATGGATTATTTGTGGGTACCGACCACTGACTTCCCAGGAATTGGCAATGTTTTGTCGCTATCAGTCAGATTCAGAAGCCAAACAGCCAGCCATGAATCACGAATTCACAACAGACCACTCAGAAATAACCACCTGGATGAAGGGACTGCTGGAGTCTGACAAGAACCAAGTCTGCATTCGTCAAGAGACATTGAATATTTTCGAAACCGATGGTGATTACCTATGGACTGAGATCCGGTCGTCGGGGCCTCAGTGGACCTGCTGGTTCCTGTATCGCTTTCTGACTTCGGCGAGGATTAAGAGGCAACTCCTAAGCATTTACAATGATTATCAAGAAACGGTTCGGTCCTCCAAGGAGCATATGACTCCACCATTGGTGTCAGATGGTCGGGATATTGTCTATTATGCGACCGAGTCCTTCCCGTATCACTTATCCAAGGCCCCCCAAGTACTCCAAGAAATCGCACCGATCCTTCTAGAACGCAATGGGCCGTTGAGCGCCTGGATGAAAGTTTATTGGGCCATGCAGAACCCATTCTCCAGACCACGAATGTGCAATCTGGACCCTGGAGGCGTATCCCTTCTGACACTGGGACTCCAAAGTTTTAGACTGTACGAACTTCTGAGTCAAAGTGGCTATGAGCTCCCTGTCAGAGTAGGAGGGCTCTCTGAGGCCATGCAGGTAGGGGATAAAGATGCTGCTCTTTATTACCTGAAAGAGTCCCATGATTTGCTATCCGTTTGGCTTCTCTGGAGAGCAGGTTTCCTCAACATGGGACGCGTGGTGGATACCCTTCAGAACCTTGGGATGACCCCCAATCCTCTCCCCGATCCTACTATTTTCTATCCTTCCCCGCTGTACCTAGCATGCAGACTCGACCATTGCCAGATTGTACAAACCCTACTGAGAAGTGGTGCCGACATTGATGTTCTTATGGATGGTCATGTGGGCATCATGTTCAAGGCAGCTGCAGAAGGGGCTGATGACACCATCCGGGCAATCGCGGCTGTGCAACACACACTCTTGGATGCGCCTCGACCATACACACCCCTCTATGCGGCATGTTATCGTGGTTTGTGGAAAACAGTGGAAACGCTGGTACAGCTAGGCGCCAGCGTCGATCTCCAATGTGATGGTAATGATACAGAGCCAGGCTGGCAACCTCTATGTATTGCTGCCTTATATGGTTATCCCAGAACTATCCGAACTCTCTTGGGGAATAAGGCTGATCCGGATCTGAGGGGCCCGGGTGTCAATATCACGGCTCTGTCGCTGGCAGTTTGCGAGTCAGGGGTTCCGGAATGTGTTCGCTTGCTTCTCGATCATGGTGCGAATCCCAACCACGAGCTTCACAAACCTGTCTTTCCAGTGCTTCTGGCCCAGGAAACGACGCAATTGGATGCCAAGCTTGAGATATTGGATATTCTAGTAGACCACTCTACCCCAGTCGATGTCAATGCTGTCGACTGCTTGGACCGGGCTATGACCCCTCTGATGTATGCTGCAGCATCTGGGGATCGCGAGCTTGTCGTGTGGCTATTGTCGCACGGGGCAAATATGGCCTTGGTTGATTGTAATGGACAAAATGCACTGTTTCATGCAGTTGTCGGGCGACAGGACTCAGTCGTGCAAGTCCTGCTCGAATGGGGCTCTCCACTCATAGAGAAAAACGCGCAGGGGACTACAATGCTTCAACTTGCCATCGAGAAAGTACAGATTCTGCATCTCTTGTTGGAAGCGGGAGCTGATCCGGAACTGGAAAGCAGCGACGGGTCGACAACAATCAACAAAGCTGCCAGCCAAGGCCAAGCGGAGTCTATCCGTGTGCTCATTCAGCGAGGTGTGAACATTCATCACCGGGACCAGGCGGGCTGGAGTCCTGTGCTGGATGCTTGCGGAACCTCTCCCAATGAAGAAGTTGTACGCATCTTGATGGAAGCTGGGGCTAGATCGACAGACACGACCCCCGGTGGGCAAACTCCTTTGCACCAGGCTGTGATTAAAGGCCGACTAGACATTCTCAAGGTATTGCTTGAATATCGTAATGTCCTGGATATCGACGCACAAGATAGTGAGAAGGACACCGCGCTTGCGGCCGCTGTCCGATGCAATGAACTTGAATGCGCTGGCGCGCTCATTCGGGCCGGTGCAAACATCAACCAAGAATCGGATAAAGGGTGGACAGCCTTCCTCTACGCGGTGGCCTTGGAGCGACCCCCAAAGTTCATTGATCTGCTTCTAGCCCAGTCAGGCTCCCATATTCATCGCGTCACAGAAGGGTGGGGAGCAGCGATTCACCTTGCCTGTCAACATCTACACCTCGACACGGTTAAGAAATTGATATCCCATGGGGCAGACGTCAACCAGCAGATCACGGGGCCTAATTCTACTCCTTTGATCTCCATATGCAGCCCCCGACCTTCGGGAACAAGGAATCGCCAGGAAAACCTCGAGCGACAGGATTGCCTGGTCCGCGAACTGGTTCATCAAGGGGCCGACATCGCCGCGGAGCACAGCTTTATTGTTTATAACCCTCTTTCAGCTGCGTGTCTCGGTAGAGGTGTTAGTATCATCAATTATTTGCTCTACAAAGGCGCCTCGCCCCAGCTTCGAGATCCACTGGGTCGCCTGGCAATCCACTTTGCCGCTGCCAACGGGCTGGAGAACTTCGAGGCCATACACCACGCCGATCCCAATTTTCTGGTGGCTCCAGATAAAGGCAACAAGATTCCTCTCCACTGGGCGGCGCAATTTGGTCGCGTCCGAACCGTTGAGGCAATCCTGAACTATGTGAGTCTCCCGACAGAGCGGCGACGATACGTTAATGAGGCCGATACCGATGGCTGGACTCCGCTCTGTTGGGCACTTCGGCCCACCGAGTTGCTTTGGGACCCTAATATGCCCTCCGAGCCTGCCAACTATGCAGAGACCGTTCGCTTCTTGCTGGAGAACGGAGCGGATGTGACGCTACGCTGCCGGATGAGCAGTGAGCAAGACTTGTATACGCCATTCCAGTTAGCCCTTCTGCACGACGCCGGTGATGAAGTCATCGAGCTTCTCCAAGAGTCTTTGGACAGTAATGTTTCTGATAGTCAGGAGGTGTCTAGCCAAGTATATACTCGACCCTATGGATATTTTTGTGGAATCTGCTTTTCGGTGAGTAACTGTAAAAATCCCTCAGCCATTCCTTTAGAGGCCAGTGGGTATGCTAATCCGGCCGTCTCTTCACCCCAAGTGTATCTATGGGATTGCCTACGACTGTACCATCTGTCAGAACTTCTTGGCCTGTCGAAAGTGCTACGGTCAAATAGGCATTTACCTAGGCGACCGGCCGGTCCCCGGACCGAAAGCGCATGTACACAAGTTCCAATTATGGGACAGCAGGGAGCCAGAATTCCAGGGCATGTCCATGCAGGGATCCTTACCTGATATTGAGGAAGGTCTATACTCGGAACTTGTCGATCCAGAGGAGTCGGACCAAGCGCCGAATAGTGATGCCGGCAGTGACGCAAATGATCTTTTTTTAGAGGATCCTCCTGGGTCTGTCGGTAGTAGCACATCCTCTGGATATAGAAAGGATGATCAAAAGGGGTTTTGGTAGGGAAGGAGACTGAAGTAAATTATCATCTAGCGTATAATTCAGTTATTACATGCTACTTTGATGGACCATGTCAGACGATTTCTATGATCTACTGATACCTTGTGTGAAAATGGGCTCATAGCACATAATAGCTCGACACTTATTTTGAATGGCTAGGATGGTACAGTTCCCTGCTATGTTCTTTCGAAAGTAAATGGGGTCCGATTTCAATAATGAAACTGGCGAGTTGGAGAGATATGCGCCTCATCGTGGGGTGGAAGGTGTCTGATATATCATAGGTGCTTTTTGCCTGGGAATGACAGAAGGGGGAGAGAGAGAGAGAGTAGGTGTGTGATGATATGTGATAGAAAGATAAAGACACAGTCTGTAGTATGTACCAATATACTGTGTTCTCTGGTATCGCCAAAGGGCCCGTGTGTATGTTAAAGATTGCATGTGCATAATTGCATATCTTGGTACTATCTTCTCCTACCCATAAATTGATCTTGATCACCCTTCGCTGCAATTATGGCCAATAAACTTATGTCTCCATGTCAAAGAATATACCAAAGCATGTTATCACGAACATATACTGCTATTTGGAACGTGATCAATAGTCCCCGCCCGAAGTAGGTTTTTGGCTCCATTATTCTTCAGTTCGCTTGTGTCCACTGCTAGAAATAATAGCTGTGATCGGTGGGAGAAAATGTCACTCTGTGGGAAATTGGACCACGAGGAGAGCTATGCGTTATCGGTAGGTATGGTCTCTGTCGATTTATCCATGAGGGGTTAGGCATAATTCTCGGGCCGCTAGTATTTGTTTCTGGAGAATTGCACGTAGGACGCAGTGAGACAGGAGTTTTGCTGACGCGTATGCTGGATAATTCGCTCGAAGTATAGTGGGCATCATTGTAGCTAGCGTAGGCTGAAGCGTTGATCCAGAATGACTCCAAGTTGTCGAAATAATTAACTGAGAAAGACATATCCGGGAGATTAGCAGAGGTACTACCCTCCAGGCCTCTCATCCATTGCTGACAGTTCAGCCGGGTATGCTCCATCTGGCGGTACTTTATATTTCCCCGGTCCCGACATCGGATAGTACGTATCCGCTGGTAGTTCGGCAGTAAACTCTGGTTTGTGATCCTGTCGATATTGTCGCACAAAAGCGTGGGGTGTTTGTGAGTTCATTGACCCCGATCGTGAATACTCACTCGGTGACATGGGCACCTGATAGGACGATCGTCGGGACCGTTCATCCGGCGGCATGGTGGCAGAGGTACTTGATCGATCCGCTGGGTTATACGTCCTAAGCACCCCGTCTTCCATAATACCCTGCAAGACACCTGCATCGAGGAGTTCGGCCTTCTTGATCAGGCGATCCACCAATATCTTGGATGCGGCGCGCAGCTGGCTCTTCACGAATGAGAGCAGTGTAAGGTTGCATTCGATCTCGACCTCTTCGCGCAGACACAATCCTCCATTCTTACTCCGCGCAGGCTCTGTAACTGTGAATGCAAGCGATGGGTCGTTTATCGGGTCCTCCACAATGCGATACGTGTTGCGCAGATCAACGCCCATGGGTGCGTAGGTATGGGTTATCAGCCCCCAGGGCTCATCGTGGAAGCAACCTTTGAAGCTGATTGTGCCGGGGACGTAGCGCACTCGTTCGGTGATCTCATACCATGTCGAGTAGTACTCGTCTGCTGGGGCATTGCGCGGTGCTTTGATGGGGTGGTGGGATATGACAAGGGGGTTGAGAGAGATTATCTCGCCGTGGTTGTGGAGGATGTCGATGGCTAGTTGACGGGGGATATTGGAGGGGAGGGAGATGGTGTTGGTGTAGGTTTCTTTCTTGCGCAGCATTATGATGAATTGCCGTTAGTCCAGGTTTACAGTAGTTTCGATGCAGGGTAAGGTTGTAGGTGATGATGATGATGATGATGAGAAAGTTGTTGATGCCTGCGTGGGAAAAGAGGTGGGGGTCAGCCGACCTCGTATTCGGCTCAGACCAGAGTTTATTATGGCGGGCCAATGTCAGCTCTTAGAGCTGAGGCAGAGACGGAAGTAAGCAACAAGGCAATTGTTCAGCGAGCAGGCTGTTCTTCAACCTAGTATCTCCAGGATCAACCTAGTATATAAATGGTAACTCATTCGCGAGGGTGGATTCTTTCAACTTGGCATTCAGCGACCATTTATCGCTGCCATAACAGTAGATGGTATGCTCTGGTATTATTTCAGAGAGCCACAGGCCATTTTCAATCAGGCACTGCAATGGGTGAAAGTCAATTGTTGTCTTTTTTAGACTCTCAATGAACTATGGACTCGAATAACTTTAACGGGTTAGACTCAGAAGTGGGGGCGCCTGGAAAATCCTTTACCTAATCATATTTCTGCCTTATCCTTCCGAGGATATGTCTCGTTGATTCCTCGGGCATCCATTATGATGACTATACTATGAGCTATCCCCTAATAACTTCAGTGATAACATTATTTTAGGAGCACTTTAACTAGTAACCAGCTCATCAGCAAGCTTCATTACAATTGCACCAAGCTTACTCTTTGATTCAAGCTCATGGAGCTATGTTACCGATAAGATACACCTCCATCCCATGCCCGTTCAATATAAAGCTAGTCTAAATTTGGTAGCCATCATCACAGCCATTCAGATGTTCGAGACAAATCCCTGCCCTACAGGCTATCCCAAGTACACTAGGATTGTAGCTCGCGGAGCCAAGGGGATTCTTAACTCCAAGACCATCCTTGTCTCCCACGAAGATCCCCTCCCATGCAAGAGAATCATCCTGATGATCTGATGCAGCAAAGGGACGACAAACAGTCATCTGGGAGGATGTTTCGTTGGCAGTTCCCTATTCATCTTGACATCGACATCAATAAGACCAGAAATGTCACCTGGTTGGCCAACAGGCCTACCAACCTATCCCGGTTGATTAAATAGGAAAAGTGGGGAAAGTAAGACGATCAGGAGGCTTGTATCTATCCTAAGATAGGATATCGGACTCGGGTCTGGGCGGACTGCAATGTAGCTAGCTTTGCTCCAAGTGATATAATTTGATTCGAGCACATTAATTCTTCTGCGTTGAAGCCGCCTCCAGCAGTTTGTCAGTCCGATATCCTCTTCAACCTTCCCACTGGGTATGTGCGTCAAGGGAACCTGGCATTAAATTGCTGACTCCGGACCCATAGGCTTTCATTTTCTATCCTTACCCAGTTATGTATCATGGGCAAGTCCGTATCGGGCATTAACATCTAGCTCACGCAGTTACTATATTCCCCCCTGTTCCTCGTTTAGCAATACCTCCCTTCCTTCATCCTTGGGGGGTCTAAAGCCTCTGTTACGATACATTAGTCCGCTATAAATATTGATAGGACTTGACCAGATACACATACTCATAGTAGCAGATCCACGTCTCATGAATCCTTCCGAGCTTAGCATCGGCTGTCTGCACCTCGTTGGGTTAGTTACTCACAGGGAAAAGAGAAGGGAAATGTATCAGAGACTGACAAGACCCTCAACAAATTCTTCCATCATTCTTGTCTCACGTTCCAACCAAGTCAGGTGACACTCTTTAATCGACTGGGGCGTGAATGTCTGCGCGCGATCGAAATCCATCCATAATACTCGATCGGATGTTATCTGTACCATCAGGTTGCGAGGATATAGATCCCCATGGTAAACACCAGCACGGTGCATCTCTAACAGTATCTGCTGGAGCTTATGAAGTCGTTTTTCGGAGTAGTTCGATAGATCAATTGGGTGAATATCTGGTACATACTCCATCAAAATAGCATTCGGATATAGGGTATCCTCAACGAAGTCTTGCAAATATGGTAAATGATGAACTGGGTTGATGTGTTCGATCAGACCATAGAAGGCTGGGACATGTCCTCGGTCACAGAAGCCATGTTCTCGTAGACGCATAAATGCCGCGCTTTCGCACTTGAATGGATCGGTCTCGCGATCTCGACGACGACTTCGATGTTTGACGGATAATGGCTGTGGAGAGTGATACTACGTGTAATGGAAAGGTCAATGGTCATCGCAAAGAGACTCGGTCGGCTGCTTCATGATACCTACCACTTTCAAGATACAATCTTTCCCATGCCATACTGTGCGAAAGATACAAGAAACTGGTGAATTCTTGAGCTGCTTCACAAAGCTGACCTCGGAAGGGCTGAAAGTCGTCATGGGTGGTGGCTCCTGCGATGCGATGGACCTTGAGGATGAATGACGTTGGGAACCCCTTGGGTGAGAAGCAGTGAAGGATAGATATCTGGGAAGGCCTCGGCACATGACCCCCACATGGTCTGACGACAACAGCCGATGAAATCTCAGGGATCGCAAGCAGAATTCGCAGACTGCCAGCAGTCATGTAGGAAGGAGCCGACCAGCAACAGGAAGTTATCGAGCAAGAGCAGAGGAAGGTAACTTTTCAGGGTCCGAACTTACTAGACATGCAGGCTCCACGGATGCTGAACTCATAGTACTTCTAGGTTTTCGCACTCCGCCGCTCAAGCCGCTCGAACCTCCCTTTATCACATCGTACTATTGACTGTGACTGTGATGGGGATGATGATAGGAGTCAATGAAAATACAGGTGACTTTGGGCTCGGGCACCATGTCATCAATGCGCACAGAGTCAAAGGACGAGAGGCCAACATAATAAATAGGCATTATCAGCTGGACCTGGCCTACATCTCCCAGTAGGCTTGCACTCCTCTCTCCCTGTGGCTAGAGGATACTGTCCAGATTGCTATATTACCATATTATTTGCTTAATAAAAAATACAAGACAAAATCACAACTAGTCGTTATACTCCAGATCATTCCTATATAATCGTCACAATCAGGGTTACTTATTAATCATATACCCTATCTTGAAGCATGGCCACTCAAACTGTCAAATTCTTTGTCAACAAAACAGCCCACCGCCACTGCCCGTCTTCGACCAGGTGTCAGAGCACAAAGAACATAGAAGGCCCTTCTTACAGT